TCTGTCGTATTTATGTCGTCATACTCTTTTGCTTACGTTCGTTCGTGTTCTGCGTCTGCGCAGCATGTCCTGATTAATGACTCTCCTGCTCGCCCATCTCCCCCTACTCTCAGCTCCCTCTCCTCCTTCCCGCTAATCTGCTCCCCCGTATTTCATGCTCTCATCTCACGCCTTCAGCGTCGTGACTCTCTGCCGCGTCTCCTTATCAGGACACCTCCACATCTTACCTCTCCTTCGATTCCGCTCTTCCCACTTAGTTGTCATTCATCCTGACCCGCGGCCTAAGCACGTGGCTCTGGGCACTGTTCCCTCGTACTTATTCCCCCCCTTGTCTACTTCCTCTTCGCTGGCGTCTCATACACAGACAGCAGAAACACAAAGCAGGTTACAACAACAGGTTTTACATTGCTGTGGCCATCGCGACAGCGTAATCGCCACTGTGGCTGATAGAAATTTGAACGTCGGAGACACCAACGTAGGAGGCAACCTCACGGGCGTGGCCATGCAGGAGAACAATCGGCGCGCCAGCAGCGGTTGACAGAATCTCAATGTCAATGAGAGGAGCGCCTGCTCCCTTCCAGAGCGATGCGCCTTGAGACAATGAGGCTTGGTGGGACGGTGAGATGCCCGACAATGGGGCGGGGGTGAGAGGCAGAGCGCCGCTGGAAGGGAAGGACGAGCCAAGAGGGGCGGGTGCACCTCCAGCACCAGTACCGGGGGTGGCGGGCAATCCGCTGCCGCCAGTTTGCTGAATGTGCTTGTTGGTAATAGCCTTGATCACGGCCTCCTTGGCCGACCAACGGCCAGCGAATGAAGCGCGGGGATCCGGTCGCGAGCGGCACAGCAAAATCTCGCCTCGCGTAAAGTTGCGCTGGACAAACACGTCATTGTCAATGTTGACGGCAGTGACGAGCTCGACGTCCACGCCAATGCCCTTCACAGCACCAATGGTCGGGGTGCTCGATCCACTAGCAAAGACGCTGCTGTCGTTCGAGCCGCCGGGCGCAACAGTGTTTCCGTTCGTGGCCATGGTCTCGAGCATGGCACGCATCGCATCCGCCTGCAATTGCTGGCTTTGCTGCTGCTGAAGCTGTTGCTGAAGCCCGGCGGCCTTGCTGGCAACTTCACCGGCACGCTGCTCGTCCTGCTGAGCGGCAATCAGCTTGGACATGGAGGGTCGGGACGCAGACGGGCTGGCTGGCGACGACAGCGCTCGCTCGGCAACAAGGTGTCGTGCAACCGAGACAGCATGTGGGGTCGAGGTCGAGTCGGAGGCAAGCTTGTTCGCTGTTGACGTGCTTGCGGTCGGAGCAGCCGCTGCTGTCACGCCTGCAGGCTTGGAGCCGAGTTTGGTAAAGGACCAGGTCTGCTTGGACTTGTCGTACGAGGCACGAGCAAGCGGGTTGAGATAGACCTGGTTCTGCTGGGCGGCAGTGTATGGAGGCTCGGTTTTGATGCGAATCATTGGCTTGGAGCCCGTGAGGCTGTCGTGCAGATGGCGGAAGGACTGCTGGTTGCGGGCATCGCGGCGCTTCTGGTAGTCGGCCAGCTCGGATGCGCTCAGCGTAGCCAACACATAGTTGGCATTGACCATCAGGACCTCGCCTCCGACTTGGCCAAAGCCAAAGGACTTGAGCAGGCCAGCGCGAATTCGCGGCGTGCGGATGGCACGCGACGGGTAGAAGATAAACTCAAACTTGTTCAAGTCCGCGTCAATGTTGTCCGCGTTGCGGTTGCCAGGGATGATGTTGTGCTCCATCACCTGGAGCAGACCGTTGAGCATCCATGCTGCAGCGGCGCCCTTGGGGTGGCCCGTGAGGTACTTTTGGAAAATGGACGGGACGGCGTTCCCCTTGGTGCGGCCGAGATGCGCCAACTGCATGGAAAGAACCTCCGACTCGTTCAAGTCGTTGGCCTTGGTGCCAGTGCCATGGAAGGAAGCCACGTCGATATCGTCAACAGTGAGACCATAAGTGGCCAGAGCTCCGCGCAGCGGCGCAATCGCAGGGTTGCCACGCCAAAAGTCTGTGCCCCAGGCCATCCTGGCCATGTTGCGCTGACGGGTGGCCTCGGATTGGATCTGAGCAAGCTGCTCGTGAAGGGCGCGGTCGCGTTCGGAGGGGCTGGCCAGGCTGCTCACCGATTCGTGCGCAAAGGCCGTTTCCGATTCAACCCAGCGGTCGACGCTGCCCAGCTGGAACTCGAGCTGGCGGCGGCGGTAGGCAGTATTGAGCATCATGCTGGGCGAGCCAGCAGAGGTCGCCTCGCGCGCAGTCGTGAGAATGCCTTGGCCAGGGGCAGGGATCGAACGGCCCTCCTTGTCGGTGGCCGTGTTGGTGAGAGCGACAATGCCATAAATTGGCACACCCATGCGGATGGCCAGGCTGGCGGGCATCAGGATTTGCATGCCTGCGCCCTGGGATTCCATAAAGCCAGCACGGGTGGAAGTGGCAGGACGAGACATTTCGCGCGGGTCGCGTCCCTTGGCAAACTCGTCGACAGAGTTGCTTGTGGCTTTCATGGAAGCGAATTCGTTGGAACCCTGCTCCTGGAAGTCGTCATAGCCACCAGCAATCACCACCTTGGCTTTGCCACTCAGAATGGTGTCGACCGCAATCTCAACACTCTCGACCGCCGTGGCACAGGCGCCGACGGGCGTCTTGATCGGACCGGACGAAGACAGCATCAGCAAGTTGACCCATGCAGGCATGGTGTTGATAAAGTTTTCTTGCAAAATGTCCGACTGCACGGGCTTGTCGAGGAAGCGGTCGCGGTACATGCGAATGTTGGAGCGCATGCCACCAACGCCACCGCCCGACGTGTTGCCCACCTCAGACACGTGCACATACTCGTAGAACTCGTAGGGATCGCACACGCCGCTGGACATGAAGGCCTCGGCAGTCGAGACCAGCACATAGAGCGTGACGGGGTCCACCTGGTCGACCAAGTCTTTGGGCAGACCATATCGCTTGGCGTCCCAGCCAGTTGGGATTTGTCCAGCCACCAGTCGGTCAAACTTGAGCGCCTTGGGAATGTAGAGGACAGCGCCCTTCTTGAGAGTCACCACCCAGCGATCGCCAGAGGTGTCCCCTTCGACGGGAACGACGTCAACCTTGTCGCCGTGCTGCAGGCGGAAGTTGTTCGCTTCTTCCTTGGACACTTCCAGCGGCTTCATGTCACGGTCGAGAGCAACCTGCTGGAGCAGCATCTTGCGGTTGGGGTCGTAGCCCTCGAACAGCTCGGGCTCAATCAAGCGGACGCCAGTGTGGGCCAGAATCTTTTCTTCGTAATTCTTCTTGACATCGACGTCGCGCACGGGCTTGGAGGTTGCCGTATCCGTCCAGCCAGTGTAGCGCGAGCCGTCGGGGAGCTTGAGCCCGTCGTTGAAGGTGATGAGATTCATGACCCACGCAAGCTCGACGCAGCCCTCGAGCGAGAACTGGCCGTAGCTCTCCATCTCCCAGCGCGAGCGAGCGCTTCCGAAAGGTCCAACTTCACCATAGCCGGTAATGACAACGACTCGGTCCAAATCCAACAAGCCGCGCGCATTGCCAAACTCCTTGACCAGCGACTCGTGGTCGGGAATGGTGGGGTAGGTGATGGTCAAGTTGGCGCGTCGTGCCAATGGGCCATTGGCCGCTGGGCGCTTGGTGTTGGAGACACCACGGACAACCTCGGCGTCGAGCTTCTTGTCGGCCAGCACTGCCTTGCGAACAGTGGAGGTCTCTGAGATGCCGGCGCGCAGCGCGAGGGTGGCAGTGTTCAGGTTGGAGAGCAAATGAAGACCACCAGTCAGATCGGCCCACAGAGGCTCGTTGTGGCACGCTTTGACAATGGTGGGATGCATCAGACCAAGAAGGTTGAAGGCCATCTCGGTGGTCGAGAAGGTGCGCACGCCCAGCTTTTCAATGCCCTGAGCAATCAAGTTGTTGGCAGCCATCAATCCAGTGCCGCGCGTCCAGCCAATGACTGCGCCTGCAATGGACAGATATTGTCCCCAGCTTTCCGAATGCCAGCGCTGGAAGAGCGTCTCGAGGGCAACCTTGGACTCGCTGTACAGACCATCGCCGCCGAAAATGCCGTGGTTGGGCGATAGGGGCAAAATGACCTGGCACGGGCGGGTGACGGCAAAAGCGGCGTGCTTGCGCGTCTTGATGGCGCCGAGAAGACGAAGAAGGTTGGTGAGCATGACGCGGTGTGCGAGTTCCGAGCGCGAGTCAATGTCCGAAATCTCGCGGCCATTCTCGCTCACGGCTGCGAATGGAATCAAAAAGTCGACATCCCATCCAAGGCCGCCGTTCTTGACGTCGTCGAAAATGTAGCCAACCAGCGCCTCGACATCGCGCATGGCGCCCTGGTTGAAGGGCACAACCACCAACGAGCTGCCCTTGGCTCCCTTCTCTTCGTAAATGCTGCGGTAAAACTCGGTGGCCTGGCGACCGAACGACGAAGTCGTCACGACAACGCGCGCACCGCCACTCAACAGACCGCGAAGGACCTCGGCGCCAATGGATCCGGCGCCGCAGCCCGTCATGAGCACGGTGCGGCCTGCAAAGCTGACGCCGTTCACAGCCATGTCAGTCAGCGCATTCAAGAACATGGTGGTCGACTTGCGGTCGTGCACAAAGTGGGACGGATCGTACGGCGAGCGCTTCTTGAGCGACAAGAAGGGCAGACGGTGCTGGCGGAAGCTGCTGCTGGCAGACCCGCCATTCGAGGTAGCCACGAGAGACGTGGCAGGCGAGCCGGAGGCCATCGCAAGCAGCAAGCCAAAGAGCTTTTGATTGGACGCCACAGGATGAGGGTTGAGTGACAACAGCCTGAGAATGTCTGCCAGCACGCGTCGACGGCGGTCCTTGCGCGCCGGCCGGCCTGGGGACTGGAGGCGGCGCAGCTCGCAAAGCTTCTTGTACGTCTTGTGCTCGATTTCGCTCATCTCGGCGGCGTTTGCATTCTCAGCAGAGGACGACGGCGTCTTTAGCGTGGAAGTGGAATTGCTGGCGCTGACAACCGACGACGCCTGCTCCTCCGAGGAGAGACGAGCCGGAGCCACGACACCGCGACGCATTTCATTCACATAGTGCTCGAGCTTGGACACGCCCTGTCGCCTGGTTTCTTGGAAGGCGACGGTGCCGTCCTCGAGCACTTCAGTGCTGGGTGCGGTCAGCAGGGTCAGGTCGCGATAGCGCGGCGGGGAAGCGGCCGCCTCGCGAACCAGGCCCGCGAGCAGAGTGCCAAGCTCGTACACGAGCTTGTGCTCGGGCTCTGGGCGGTGCTGCGAGGGCTGGATGTGGTACAGAATGAAATCGACCAACGAAGCCGAGGCGCGGTTGACAATGTTGAGGCTGCGAATGTGCAGAGCGCGGTCAACCACCTTGACCGTGCCAGAGAGGATGTCGCTCCACATCTGGAGCGCCTCTTGGCGTGCCCAGTTCCAGGACGAGTCATACACGCGAACCTTGAGTCGGTTGAACATGGGGCGGATGCCCTGAGCGTAAAAGTCACCATGCTCCTTCTGCCACAGGTCGAGCTCTTCCTGCAGGAGCTGGCGGCTCTGCGATTCGGTCTGGAGCAGCTTTTCGGCATAGTGCACATCCTGGCGGAGATAGTCGGCGAAAACGGCAATCTGGTCGCGAATCAGCCGATCTTGGCGCACTTGCATCTCGGTGACTTGTGCGCTGTTGACCATCACGCCCGCACCACCAGCAGAGCCAGCACCGGCACCACCCGCGCCGCCAGAGACGGAAATGTTGTAGGTGGCACCAAAGTCAGCAACAACAGCCTGCGCCCACGACTTGACCTCGTCTTCAGAGTTGAGACGTGCAGGTGGCTCGACCGCACAGCCGTGAAGCAAGAGCGAGTCCTGGCGACCTTCGCCAAAGCCCATGCCGGCGAACGTCTGCTTCAGCTGAGGGAGGCCAAAGCCGCCCGGCAGCTTGCTCGCGACCGAGCGCGCAAGCAAAGTCTTGGACTGCTTGCCAAGCGTGACGTAGTTGGCACCAATGCTCTTGGCAAGCTCGCCGATGGGCACTTCCGGTGCAGTGTCACTGCCAGGAATTTCACCAAACTCGGCCTGCAAATCGCCAAGGAGCTCGTTCTGCAAGGTCGACTTGCCACCCACCAAGTCTTTGATCGACTTGGATTCGGGCACCTCGCTGGGCTTGCGCTTGAGCTTGACGGCGATAATGGTGCGAATAAAGTGCAACGGCGAGACGGGAGCATCTGGCTGAGCTTGCCCGCCAGTGGCGGCAGCAGGCGCGGCGGAGGCCATGACAGCAGCAGCTGGGGCAGCAGCAGCAGCAGCGCCCTTGCTAATGGGGAGCTTTTTGTATGCCGCATAGGATGTGACAACAGAGTCGAGCCAGCGCTTGGCGTCGTCCTCGGTGTTGCAGCGCGTCTGGGACGACGCTGGATCCATCACCAACGCATGCAGGAGCACGCCGTCTGCACGCCCGGCGCCCAGCCCAAAGTCAGAGGCCAGATAGGCACGGACCTGCGAAAGGCCAAATCCGCCAGGCATCTTGGAGCCCACCATCTTGGTCACAAGGGAGGAAGTGTGCTTGCCAAGGGTACCAGAGAAGGACGCGGCAAGGTTGCCAGCAATGTCCTTGAGCGAGGCTTCCTCGAGTTTATCGGTCTGGATGGAGCCAAACTCCTTGTGCAAGTCGCCGACAATCTCGTTCTGCAAGGTAGACTTGCCGCCCACCAGGTCTTTGATGGTCTTGGTCGCAGGCACGTCCGCCAACGCCTTGTTGAGCTTGTGCGCAACAGTCACATGCACAACCTCATCCGCCGACACTGGCTCGTCTGGCACTGCTGCAGCAGGGCCGTGTGAGACGGGAGCTGGTGGCGCGGGGCGCGCAGGTGCGGGTGCGGGTGCGGGTGCAGGTGCAGATGCAGCTGCTGCGGCGCGAGTGGGCTTTTTCGACTCTGCGGCAGCTCCGGCCGAAGCGACGGGAGCAGCGTCGCCCAAACGGTAGTAAATGGCGTCAGAGTCCTTGCCGTAGCACAAAGTGGCGCGCGCTTGCGTGACAGCTTCGTCGTAGGCCTCGTACTTGAGCTTGAGGGTGCGCTGAGCCATTCCGCAGAGCGTGGGGCCAGGACCAATCTCAATCAGGCGCTCAACTCCGAATCGGCCAAAGAGAAGGTCTTGGGTCTCAGTCCAGCGCACGGGCGACGCAAATTGGTAGGCAAGCAGCTCGACCAGCAGAATAAAGCCGAGATTTTGCTGCTCTTCCGGATTGGAGAGGTCGGTCTCGTTCCAGTCGCGCAGCAGTGCAGCCAACTTGGCAGAACCGCAGTAGTTGGCGACCATCTCAATGTACTCGCGTGAGAGCGAGAACGGGCTGGCAACGAGATTGGGAATGTACTTGCCGCTGAGCAACTGGACATCCACAAAGCGAGGGTTGATGCGCTTGGCAAGATACTTGCGGAAGGGCGCCACGCCGCTAAGCAAAAACTTGGAATGGAATGGCACGTCGATGCCAACAAGCGGCACGGTCGCTGTGCCACGCTCGAGGGCAAATGCATCGCCAAGCGCCTGACGCTTCTCGGCGACCAGAATGACCATCTCATCGACCAGCGTTTGCAACTGCTGCTGGACCTGAGCCAACGAGGACTTTGCAAGCAGGCTTGCCAAGTCAATGCGCTGCTCGTTGATCTTGTCCAAGACCTTGGTCAGCGTTTCGAGGCATCCAATTTCGCCAGCGCACACGTACTGCCAGTTTTCCACGTTGTAGTTGACAATTTCGAGCAGCTGCTTGGAGGAGCGCGAGATGCGATCGACCACAAACCGCAGCGCCTGGTCGCTAAAGCCCTTTCCGACACGCGCCGGGTTGGCAGCGCACATGCCGTACTGCGAGCGCCCGCGAGCGTCTCGGGCAACAGCCACCTGCATGGTCATGCCGCGATAGAAGCAAACGTCCACCAGCGACTCGATGGGAAGGACCTGACCGATTGCAGAGAGCGCGGCATACTCGCCAAGCGAGTGGCCAGCAAAGATGCAGTCAGTCTGCACAAGCCCCTTGCTACGCATGTCCTCAAACGCTGCCGTTTCCATCAGCGTGAGAGCGGGTTGGGTAAACTGGGTCGCGTACAGCAAGCCGCCTGGCGAGCGGAATGTGTAGGACAGAGTAGAGTCGTCAATCTCAGGGAAGAGGGGCCGCGCGATGATTGCGCCACTCTCGGCGTTGGCGGGGTCCACGGGAGTCTCGTACGTCATGCTTTGATACGTCTTGCGCATGCGCTCGCCCTTGGGTCCACCAAAGTGCACCGTCTTGTCCTTGGGGTTGTTTTGGACAATGTCAAGGATGGAAAACCCATAACTCTCAACAAAGTACCGGTCTGCGCGATCCCAGATTTTGCGCGCGACGGCGGACGACTTGTACAGGTCCATGCCCATGCCAGGCTCTTGCGAGCCTTGGCCGGTGAACACGTACGCAGTGACAGGCTGCTCAATCTCGCTCTCGCCTTCGAGCACACGCTCGCCACGCTGGTTGGTCGTCTCGATGCGAATAATGCGGCGTCCGTTGCGCATGCCGACGTGGCGCAGAGAGACGGTCAGAGTGTCCTCTGGCAGCACCATGGCAGTGAAGCGGACATCATACGCCGAAACGCGGTGGGGAACATTCTCGGCCGCAAAGACTTCGACGAGATGGCGAGTCGCAGCGCTGGTGAACATGCCATGCGTGATGGTGTCGGGGAGCGCAGCGAGGTCGGCAAAGTAGGGGTTGGTGTGAACGGGATTGCAGTCCCCAGAGGCAACAGAGTACGCGTGGTTGGTTTCCGGGCAGCGGAACGAGGCGGAAAACTTGTCGGGGTCGGGCATGACGGAATAGCCACCGTTCTCAAAGTACACGGCCTGCTCGACGGGACGACCCAAGCGGGCCAGGAAGGCAGTGACGGGGTTGCCCTTGGAGGGTTCTGCGCACTCGTAGCGGATGGTGCCAATGCGCACCGTCTCCTTGGCGGAGGTCTGAGCAGTCACATAGCCGGTGGAGACAATGTGGGCAAAGGTGTTGGCCTCTTTGAAGCGCTGCAGCGAGCGGAAGCGGAAGGTGAGCACAGCACCGGGGACGACGTGTTGGTCGCGGACGGCATCGCTCGCCCAGGTCATCCAAGGCTTGGACAGCAGCACGGCAACCTCCTTGGCACCCGAGAGCGTGAGTTCCATGGGCACTTCGTCAACGATGCGGAACGCGTTGGCAGCGTCGGCGGCCGAGACAAACTTGCCGCGGAAGAAGAAGCGGCTGGTGAGCTCGAGCAAGTCGACGCCTTCGCGGGAAAGCACGGCCTTGACCTCGACCATTTTGCCCGACTCTTCGTTGACCACGGCGTTGATGAAGGCACGGGTGTGGACAGTTTCGCCCTCGGCCAGCAGCGGCGACGACGAAGACGAGTGGGCGTACGGCGCGGGTCCGGGAAGCAGGCGGAACCCGTTGGACAAGTGCACCAACTTGAGCAGATCGCCGTCAATGTTTGCAGGAAAGATGGCTCGGATGACTGCGCGCCACCCAACAACAATGGCATAGTCCATGGGAGCATACAAACGCGGCTGGCCGCGATCCACACAAGCTTCTGACTTGTTGCCAACAGTGCGGCAGAAGGTGGCCATGTCAGCACGCTGCAACGTGTGAGTCTCGTGGAAGACAAGACCATCGTCGGCCAGGTTGGCCAGCAGGGCGCCGGGGGCTGCAGAACGCTTCGACGCGTCGCTGGAGGCAGCAGCAGCAGCAGCAGCAGCAGCAGCAGCAGCAGATTGGGCGGCAGCGCCAAGGAATGGGTGCGAGCCAAACCTGCCGACAGCGGACGAGAGCGAGCCGCCAGGCAGGGCGGGCTGAGGGAGCGATGCAGGCACGCGCATAAACCACGGCTTGTACGACTCTCCAAACCAAAGCTCATAGTAGAACGCCTTGATGCGCTCGTTGCGGCCTTCCATGATCTCGTGCACAGGGCAGCAGCCTTGTTGGGGTGTGTACTTGAACTGCAGGGCGAGAGATACGGTGGCATCGTTGCCAGGCTTGGATACGCGTTTCTCGTGGATGGTCACGTCAATGATGCAACCCTGGATGCGCGCTTCCAAAGCAGGCTGATCGACGGGCAGGGCATGTCCAGTGAGGAAGGAGCTGCGACGCACGGGGCGCGACGCATGCGGCGGTTGCTGCTGAGCAAGCTGCTGAGGCTCGTGCGTGCCACCAAACACGGCAATGCTGACAATATTGCAGCGAGCCAGCTCGGACGTGGAAGGTTGCTGCATCGTCGGCGCAGTGACAGAGTCACCTGCATCCGCGGGTCGCTCAAAGACCACCTGCACGCGTTGCCCCGCGCGGGGTCGGAAGAGCTGCCGAAGAGGATTGACTACGGTCAGGCGACCCTGCGCAATGCTGGGCGAAGTGAGCAGAGCGCGGAGCCAGTTGTACGAGCGGCCAGCAAGCAGCTCGAGCCACGCCGACGAATCTGGCAGACTTCCAGACTGCGAATCGGGAATCATGTACTCCACAGTGATGGAGGACGAAGGAGGAGTTGCTCCGGTCGTCGTCACCGGCAAAGTAGCAGCAGTTGCTGGGCGAGAGAGAGCCGCGCGGATGGCGCGCTGCTCGAGCTCAACGGGGAACTCGATGGGCAGGCCACCGAGGTACTCGATGGTGGGGATGGCAGCCACGTCGTTGTCATAGTACTTGGCCTTGAGGGCCTCGACATGCTTGGCATAAATGCCACCCAGAATGTCGCGAACCGGCTCGTTGACTTTGATCGAGTACTTGGCAGCAAGCGGACCTTGCAGAATGCACACGCGTTGCGGATCCGCATCCACAACAGCGTCAATGTCTTCGGCTTGCCAAAGCGAGTCCTTCTTAAACCAGACGATAAAGTTGTCGTCCATCACGGGAATGAAGGGAACGGGCTTTTGGCCAGGCCGCTGGCACAGCGCCATAAAGTACAAGACATCCTCCGATGTCAGGAGCTGCGTGCATGCGTCCGTGTACTTGCTCGTGCTAAAGAACTGGTCGAGGAAGGGCGTTGGGTTGGAGCCCAGCACCGCGTCAGACTCGACCAGCGGAGAGGCAGTCGTAGAGTCGCAAAAGCGCTCTTCAATGCGCAGCAAAAAGTCGGCGACCAGACGGCGGAAGGAAGGGTCAATCCAGCGAGACTGGCGGCTGACATAGGTCAGCTCGACGAGGCGTCGCACAACCTCCTCGTAGGTCATGAACTGCACATCCACCACGCGACCGTCAGCCTTGCGGCCAAACCAGACCTTTTGGTAGTCGGCATTCAGACGGGAAATGATGTAGTCTTTGCGCGACAGCAAGGCGGCAAGACGCTTCTCTTTGGGGAGCGAAAAGACTGTCTCGTCCAGCTCCTTCCACAACAGTACGCCGCGAGTGGCAATCTTGTGAATGGGCTCGCCGAGCTCGGAGGTGACGGTGACAACGCCACCGACCACGCTCTGGTAGCTGCGCTCCCACTCGAGCTCCTTGTCGGCCGGAATGCCGGGAGCGTCGACAATGGCTTGCTTGACGGCGAGCGAGGCGCAGCCCTCCTCGGCAACCAACAACCTGGAGGCGAACAGAATGCCGTCAAGCGGCATGGGGGCTTGGTTGAACTTGACCGACCAATCGCCAGTCAGATACGGGAGCGAGCCTTCCGCATCACCCATGCCGCTGCCACCAACCAGCACAATGTTGCTTTGCTGCCGAATGGCACCGTAGGTCTCGAGAAGCGGTGCGTGGAAGTCTTCAAACGAGTGGTGGCCTCCTGCGCGGCCGCCAGTCCATTGCAGAATGATGGTCATCTGCGGGTTGGCACTCGCAATGTCAATGACACGCACAATGCTCTCAATCGAGCCGGGCTTGAACGACACATGGCGGAAGCCGCTTTGGTGAAGCGAGCTGATAATTTCGTTGGCGCTGCCAAGGGAGGGGACACCAGCAGCAATGCACATGCCGTCCATGTTGTAGCCTTCCTTGCGCATCACTTGAACAAGCGGGTATTGGAACGACCACTGCTTGACGTTGAGGAAGAGAATATTCAGCGTAATGCCCTCGCCTGGCTGCACCTGGGCCAGAATCTTGTCCACCTTGTCGCGCAGCGCACGCTCATTGTAGTGGCCGCCTCCTGCAAGCTCGCAGTGGAAGCCAGCGTTGATGGACGCAGCCACAAAGCGGTCTGACACCGTGCTCGGGGTCATTCCGGCAATCATGAGTGGAGGCTTGCCAATCAGTCGCGAAAACTTGGTGTCTACATGAATCACGCCATCGTGCGCGGTGCGAACGAGGCGCGGCGCAAAGTCTCGACTCCAGTCGGACGAGTAGCGCACAGATAGTGTGCTGTTATCCAGCAACGACCATTGCGGCAACAGCGCGCTGTTGGGTGTCGCCGCAGCGCCCGCAAGAATGATTTGAATGCCACGGCCTTGCTTGTTTCGGGCCGTCAGGCCACCAATACCGGCAGAGTCGCCCGGGCCAAAGTCAATCATGTGGGTGACGGAAGCGACGACGGTCTTTGTGGGCGGGGTCGGGCGAGCAGCAGCTGGCTTGGGATGAGCGCCATGGCTACCGTTGGCCTCTTCTTGGATGCTGGGAGGGAAGACGTTCAAGGCGTGCTTTTGCCTGACAGTCAGAGCAGTCAGAGGGATGCTGGTGGAAGTAGTGATGGGTGTGGTAGTGGCACCCGCCGCTGCTGCCTTGACGTTGGTGCCAGCAGTCAGAGGAGCAGCAGCGGTGGCCGCCTCAGGCAGTGCAACTTGAACGGACACAGCGCCAGGGTTGGTGGCCGCTTCCCAGTTGACGGCATCGCAGCAGATTTCCTGAACCAGCGTCATGGTCAGAGAGAGCCCAGCGCTCGCCGTGCCGGAAGGGCTGGGCTTGGTCTGAGGCAGGTACTGGCCGTGGCGCAGATCGCGACCATCGTGAGCGGACAAGACGGGGATGCTCAAGGCCAACGGATCAAAGTCCAGCTGCAGGCGAGCAACGTCAGTGCCAATCAGCGCGGGTGCGTTCGTCAAGTGCTCGCTGTGGAATGGAACGGAGACTTGCAGGTAACGAGTGACAAAGGCCACCTTGCGCCGCGAGTGCGGAACGCGAGACTGGTCGTCGTTCGGTCCAGCTTTGATTTTCCGGAGTGCCACATTCAAACCATAAAGCGACTGGGGAGGACCGGCAACGACCGTGGAGGTGGGGCCGTTGACAAGCGCGACGGACAGCTTGCGATTTGCCGGAAGATGCTGGTTGACGGCGGTGACTTGGCGACCGACAAACTCGGCGGTGACACCTCGAATGGACAGCATTGGGGTCGGTGCGCCTTCTCCGTGATCCAGCGAGTCTTGCAGCAGCTTTGGGTTGGTGGCGACCGAGGGGAAGACTTGCTGCGAACGCAGCCCAATCCAAAACAAGAGCGTGATGGTCTTGACGGCGTTGGCAGTGAACTCTGTCATGGTGCGCGAGGAAGCCACGGCCACGGCAGAAACCAAACCTTGGCTGTGTCCTGTGACGCCTGCGGGAGACAAGGCAACCATTTCGGCCGGTGTGACTTCCAAGAGATGCATCGTCACGGCATAGTGGAGAAGCTGGACCAGGCCGACCAGTGGCAACGAAACGGGCGCCGAAAGAATGACGTCCTGGGACGGAGCGGTGCTCGGGGTGCGCAGCCATGCCAGCACATCAATGCCATGCGAGGAAAAGCCGGCCTCCAGAGCCTCGGGGGAGGTGGAGCACTCATTCAGGGCGTTCGCCAGCGTGTCAAGCAAAGTGCCAATCAGACTGCCATAGGTCGTGGCTGTGCGCTTGAGCTCGTCGAGCAGGTTGACGGGGCCTTGGCCTCCAAAAAGATAGAACAGGGCAGCGTCGCCGGAAGCCACACGGTTGAAGAGGGCTGGAGTGGCAGGGGCATGTTTGCACTCGTCGAGACTGAGCAAGCCCGTACGCAGCACGGCCGCGCGTGCCTGGAGGAAGACCTGGACAATGCATGTTCCGATATCGGCCGGCAGGTGGCGGACAATCGCGTGAATGTCGTTGAAGCGCGCAAACGTGTCGAAAAAGTGGACAAAAACCGCCTTGAGAAAGTGGGACGCGGCGGCCACGTCGTAGGTGAAGGCGAATGCGGACGAGGTCGCAAGGCCGCCGCGTTGCATGTGCTGCCCGTAGTGGTCTGTGACAAAAGCCAAAAAGTTGGCAGTCACGACGAGCTGCGACGAAGCCGGGGCAGGTCCGTGCACAGAGGCCAAGGCACCCGCGGCGGCATTGGGGTGAGCCGCAGCTCCGCCCACTGGAGCTGACGCGGAAGCCTGGGCGTTGGCGAACGCGGTCGAAAGCGGGTAGTCGACAGAATCCGAGGCCGACGATGTCATTGAAACGCCATCCAGTGCAGCACGGCTCGACGTCCAAGTGTTGTACTGGTGGCGGATGTGGTCGGCCAAGTGCCAGCAGCCCTCCGGCACAGGAATCTGGACCTCCGAAGAGGTCGGGGAGCTCTTGATGGCGAGAATTCGGATGCCAAGGCTCGACGACGACGACAACGACGACGATGAACCAGTCAATGGAGCGCTAGTGGTAGCAGAAGTAGTTGAAGCGGTCGACATGGTGTTTGGTGTAAGATGCTCCTGCTGCGAATGTTGCAGATGACGATCCACGTTGGGAGAAAGTGGATAGGCAATAGTTGGTGCAGGTCCGACCATGATGGGGGCGAGTTTTGTTTTCTTAGGGAATTCTGAGAGATTTTGGTGTTGTTTTTTCTTGTTTCGGTCTTTTTTTGAAATCTGAATCGGAAGCAAGCAAGCAAATCCACAGTCGTTCAAGGGTTAGCACAACACGTTGGCAATATCGTAACACATGCAGAGACTGTTTTGAGTGATCAAAGTATCATTGCAATAGAATAAAAAACGACTGAATAAAAAAGAAAAAATACACAAAATGAACGCTGAGCAGAAAAAAGGGTTGATTCCCAAAAACTGCCTTCCGACGCTGCAGCAAATCGAATCCTCAAAATCAAAAGCAACGAAAGACCTCAAAACGAGGAAAGCCAGGAACGAAGCAGCACATTGTGAACAGGAGCACGATCAACTTGAGTTGCCCGCTGCTGCCGATGACGACAATGATCGACCGTGACATTGGCTTTGGACGATCGAGGTAAAGCTCGAGCTTGGGTTTTTTTTTTTTTTTTTTTTTCTGGCTTGCACAATGCAACAGAAAACGCTCCATTCAATTTGTCGTGTGCCTTCTCTCTCTTGTTCGGCCAGTGCGCTCTCTCTCCCGCAGAATTGCCTTTTCATTGTAAGATCACTCGACACAGGAGCTAGTTTGATCTGAACCCTCCTCCACAGTGGAGCTTTTTCGGTTTCCATTTTGTTGGGGCGCGCATTGAAGCGTTTTTTTTTTTTTTCTTTCTTTTTTTTTTTCTTTTTTTTTTCTGCGTTTTCCGTTCGTTCCCTTCTTCTTGTTTCTCCTCGTCGTCTCTTGCTTACCCTCGGTTGATCTCTCCTTTTTGCTTTTGCACAACAAAAACAAAAAGAATCAAACTTCAAGACAGAAGAAGAGACCGAAAATGCGATGTGAATAAAATGGACTGGATTGCAACCAATAATATTTTTGGTGTGGACGTGTCATTTTGTTGAGCCAAAGAGAGAGAAAGAGAGAGAGATTGAGATTGAGATTGAGAGAGGGGGGGGGGACGTGACCTATCACGGACTGAATGTTTCAGCTGACCTCCGCGGTGCTGTCTCAATCTCAAATCAGACGACGAGTCATCCGGACTGCGCCTTTTTGACTGCATGCATCAACATCCAGCAGCAAGTTGCTGTCAATGCATGGTGCTCATTGGAAAGCGGGATGTCGATGTGTGTGTGTTGCGAGTTTTGTCACTGTGAGGTGAAAACCAATGAAATCAAAAAAAAAAAAAAAAAAAAAAAAAAAAAAAAAAAAAGTCACTGTCACAGTTTTCGCCCCAATCCAATTATTGTACTCGCCTTCCTGCGATTTGCTGCGGTCGATGCAAGCCCCCATTCGCAGCGGCATTGCATGCAACTCGCTGCTACACACCCGAATCCGCAGCGAAAATCGGGCCGTGCGGCTCCCCGTCCCTTCCGCTTTCGCTCCTGCACAGCAATACATTTTCACTGCGTTTTTTTTTTCTTTTTTTTCTTTTTCTTTTTTTTCTTTTTATTTTCGCATTTAATACTTCATCCAAAGTCCGACAGTGACTTTTGCGCATGCGGGTTCAAGTCTCACTCTCCTCAAGTCAAAGTCAAAAACGGGGGAGAAACAGGCAAGTTGGTCTTCTGTGAGCACCAGCTTGGAGCAGCTCAGCCAATGCATCAACGCGAGGAGTCTGCTGTGGAGATGCGAATCTCCGACAACTGTGGCGCCACGGCTCAATTCTGCGCAATTTCGACTCACTCTCTCTCTCTCTCTCTCCCCACGCGGGGCACCCCAACCCGTTTGAAGTTGCAACGTTGCTTCAACCGTCAATGGACATGGCATGTATGTGTGCTCCAACGCGCCCGCTTTACTCAAAAAACGAAGCCGAGTCTCAATGAAGGGTTTTTTGGTGTTGTCGGGTCGCATGGATGATCGAGAGAGTTCCTCGCATGTGTGAGTGTGAAGCTTGAGCTCAATGGCTTACCAAAAAGTGAAACGACCCTCTTTGAATCCAACAACTGCAACAAAGAAAGAAAAAAATAAGACTGACTTGCTTAGAAAATGGAAATTCAAATCAAATCAAATCTCCCTTCAAACAGAAACCGATGTGTGGATGCTTCGGCGTTGAACCATGCATGCTCGATTCAGTACACTAAGATTGGACACATTTTGTGTGCTTGACTGTTCTTCGATGAGCACAAGAGAACAGACGTGTGAATGCCTCGACGTTTGAAACGGAAATGCTTGAGATTTGCCCGCCATACTCGACCCTCACTCATCCTCGATTAGTGACTAGCCATCCCTAGTCCCATTTCCACGTTGCTCAGAAGCCCAGCCGCAATAACGCTCCACTCGTTCAAACCCAGCCAAGTGGCAGTCCCAGTTTCTTACTTTTCAACACAGCCAATGTCGACGCGATCTGCTGAATCCCGCCGCGCTCCCGGCGCCGCGTCGTCGCAGGCTGCCCATGGAGCTGCTGCTGCTGCTGCTAATAATACCACGAGCACTGCTGCTGCAGCGCACCAGTCCAGAGCGCTCTCGCCAAGCCGCACTCGCCGCATTGCAGCTCCTTCTGCCACTGCTGCCGCCGCTGCCGCCGCTGCCGCCGCTTCGTCATCGACTCCTGGAGCGAGCCTTCCTCCTCCGAATGGCCGCTCGCGTTCAGCCTCGCGCTCGCCGTCCCGCTCGCCGTCGCGCCAGAGCCGCTCGACGATCGCCCCAACGCCAGTTACTGCTGCTGCTGCTGATGGAGCTCAAGCTGGCTCTGCTGCCCGCCGCCGCCGCACGGACACGCCAGCTGACGACTCGAGCCTGTCTACTGCCCTGAACGCAGACCCGGAGAAGCCTGCTGGACTGCGCGGCCGCTCGCTCAAGCTGAACGTCGACACAGCCAACCAAGCTGCGGCTCAGGCCAGCAGCAACCCGCTCTCGCCGGACGAGCTCCCGCACCCAGACCTGGAGGCGATTCATCTCATCACGCTGTGGCGTTCCCCGCTGCGTGTCGTCAAGTACTTTGTCCACGAGTTGGTCGAGCACTTGCGTGAGCTTGGTGTTTCGCTCTCAAAGTACCCGTCCACAGTCGCGCTCACGCTGGTGACTGTTCTGGTGTTGCTGCTGATCTTCCTGCAGCCGCACTACGTCGGTTTGGGCCATGTAAGCCATTGCTCTGAGTTTTGGTTGCTTTTTTGTCCGTTCACGATTGCGACGCCGAGTTTCGTGCTGACTCACCACGTCACACTTTCTCAAAAACTGCTCATCTACTACAGCACGCCGAAACCTTGAACGAGTGGCTCGGTCTTGGTATTTGGTACCTCTGGTGGGTTGGCCTGGGCGTCCTGAGCTCGGTCGGCTTGGGCTCGGGTCTGCACACGTTTGTGCTGTACCTTGCGCCGTTCATCGTCAAGGTGTCTGTCCACGCCCAGAACTGCCAGTCGCTCGAGTTCTCCAACTTGGGCCACTACAACGACCAGTTCCCAATCTGCGCAGTGGGCGGTGCCAGCAGCGCCATCACCATTCTCTCCATTTTGAACAAGGTCCGCTTTGAGGCCCTGATGTGGGGTCTCGGCACCGCCATCGGCGAGCTGCCGCCGTACTTTGTTGCCCGCGCCTTCCGCCTCAGTACCGATCGCGCCAAGGCGGCCATTGTCGTCGGCGAAGACGCGGATGCTTCTCTCCAAGCCGAGGCGATCGAAGCCGAACATCTCGCCGAAATTGAGGCTCTCGACGATCAGAGCGATCAGTCTGCGCTTGCTCGTGGCAAGCGTGTCATGCACAATCTAGTTCAGCGACTTGGTTTCTGGGGCATTGTCGCCGCTGCTTCGGTGAGTTATTTGAGAAACGAACAAAACCTTGTGCCAATCAATCTGTGCCACCTGCATCGTTGCTGGATGATTCTTACAATGGTCCAACTCTATTTCTTTGTAGATTCCCAACCCACTGTTCGACCTGGCTGGCATCACGTGCGGACACTTCCTCGTCCCCTTTGGCACGTTCTTTGGCGCCACGGTTCTCGGCAAGGCTGTCATCAAGGCCCATTTGCAGGTACGTGTGACTTTTTGTGATGTGAGTGTGCGCTCGAGGCTCTGGTTTTGCCAACCCACTGGTTACTGTAGACTTTGTTTGTCATTTGCGTGTCCAACCGCGAGGTGGTGGGCTGGCTCGTCACCAAGGTCAAGGCCATCTGGGAGCGGCCTGGGTCTTGGCTCGAGGAGAACTTGAACAAGTACTTTACTTCGCTGGTTGACCAAGCCCCATCTGGCAATGTACGGCTTTGTTGGTTATTGTTTGGTTTTTGTTTTTATTTTTGGCCTCGTTCCTTTCGATGGTGCCATTCCGTTCATGTGCTCACCTTGCTGCTGTCGGGGTTTCTCGTGTTGCAGGACGCGTCTCTCTTTGGCCAGTTGAAAGACCTTGTTCTGTTGGCTGTGCTGACCTACTTTGTGATCTCGATCATCAACTCGCTCGCGCAAAGTCACATCAAGCGCAAGGAGCGAGAGCGTCTCAAGCGTCTTGCACACAAGCGTCATCGCCACCACAACCACCATCACCACCTTTGAGTAAACAAGGCGGCTTTGAGTCTGTCAAATTGTCGTTGTGCGAGTCGATTGTCGCTGGCTACTGTTTTTTTATCGTGTAATTCGAAAAAGTATATCTGGAGAAAGTGAAGTATTGTTCATCCAATTGAATTTAATGGGTATGATGGCGGTAACGCGACAATCGCATACACGTTGACAAGTAAAGCATAAAGCCAACAAAAACACGGAAGGGGAAGGGGGGGACAAAAACTACACCGGGTCGGAACCAAGCCGATCTCACAAGAATAGAGGTGAAAGTGGAAAGAAGTGAAGAATTGGGGATGGGGTTTTGAGAGAGAGAGAAAGAGAGAGAGCGAGAGGAAGAAGACGACGAAACAGAAGAGGAAGAAAAAATAAAAGTCGAAGCAAAGGATACAGAGACGCTGTATGACAGTAAAAACCTGATTGTAAAAACCTGATTTAAGGATCTGGCACCTTGTACTGCGCGTTGTGCTCCTCCAGCTCGAGCGTGTGCTTGGCCTTGAGCTCGGCAACGCGAGAGTCCGAATCTTTGATGAGACGGTCCATGTCCTCGTGGGTTTGGCGCGCAAGCTCTTCCTGCTTGAGGAGCAGCAGCCGCTTCAATTCGTCCTCTTCGGCGAGGTGGCGCAGCTTGCTGCGATCTTTGCGCTGCTGTTGGAACTGCTTGAGCGACTTTTGTGTGTCCGAGTGCTTGCAGCTCATGTCGGCCACTTCCTCTTGGATTTTCAAGTCGAACTGCGTGTTGGAGTTGTCCAGACTCTCGGAGAGGTTTCGCTGGAAGTCGACCGCCAGGTTTTGCAAGGTGACCATCAATTCCTTCTTGAGACGCCGAAGTTGATCGTCCACTTCGTCCTTGGGTGTGTTTTCGGCGGCACGCTTGCACCGTTCCTTGAAGGACTTGCGCTCGTTCTTGACCAGCTCCTCAAACCTGCGTTTCAACCCTTGCTCAATCGCCTTGGACTCCTTGGGACGCGCCTTGGACTCGAGGTATTGCCTGCGGCGCATGTCCTTCTCTGACTTTGAGTGGTACTCGACCATGTTGTCGCACTCGAGCTTTTGAGTGGTGGATTGTTGAGACTCTTGTGCTTCGTGGACCTTGCGCAGGTGCTGCAAGCGCATGTCGCGCAGCGCCTGTTGGAGTTGGCGCTTGACGTCCCATTGCGCTTGTCGGTGTTGCTTGAGCATGGTTGTTTCCTGTACGGACAAAGAAGAAGAAGAAGAAGAAGAAGAGGTGAGCCATTTCTTGAATTGGCCCAACCCTCCAAAACACTCACAACAACAACAACAAAACTGCGGCCGATCAACAACACAAAACACTTACATCGACCACACATTCCATTTCCACAGCTTGGCGCTTTTTGATCAAAATCTCCTTGAACTTTTTCATCTTCTTGTCAAGCGTAAGCCGTTGCTCCTCGCGAATCTTGACGTTCAACTCGGCCTGCTCCTCGCCCAAAGTCGGCTTGTCGACATTCTTGCGATCCGTCTTGGGTGTGCTTGCAAGAAGCACCTTGTGCTTCTCCTTCAAGTCGGTCTTTTGCGCATCTTGGTATTGCTTAAACTCGGTGGCTTGGAAGTCGCGAAGGGCCTTCAGCTCTTTCTTCTCTTCGTGTGCCTCAAACTTGAGCATTGCCTCGAGCTCGGGCCGTTGCTTGTTCCGGAGCTTTTCCATCTCTGCGTCTTGCTGCTTGAGCAGTGCTTCCAGGTCTTTTTGGTTTTGCCTATCAAAGAGCCATCACAACGAACACCAGCCAAACGAACAAAAAAAAGGGGGGGCGGGATGAGTTGCAAGAAATCACCAAGCCCCAAAAAAAAAACCTGCAAGCCAATCACTCTGCCCAACAATCAGAAAACTCTCTTTAAAAAAATCTCTTCTGTCTGACTTACACTTTGGCATCCAAGAGCTCTTGCTCGTGCTGCCGTTGCAGCACATCTTGTTGAAGCTGGTGCTTCTTCTTGAGACGCGTGAGCTCCTTGAGCTGTGAACGAAGCAGGTCGTGTTCGTTTGCCTTTTCGCCGACCATGACGCTTCGGGGTCGCAACGTTCCAAAGTTGATGCTAAGGTCTTCTGATGAGCTATCCTTGGAGAGGTTTCGGTGGTCGGTCGGCGCCTTGAGGTCGGCGCCGTCGTAACTGTCGTCATCGGGGCGAAGCATGGCTTGCAGATCGTGGTAGTGCTGCGAGTCCAGCTCGCTGACGAGACCTTGACTGCGGCGCACCAAGTTCACCAAGATGCCTGGTGGTTTGTCCATTTTGATAAAGTTGTGCTGCAACAATTCTTGAGCCGAAGGGCGCTTTGCGGGGTCTTTTTGAAGGCACAGGGCGATAAATTGCTTGAAAGTGTCCGACCTGAGTCAAAGCACAGCACACATACAACAATGAAAGCAAATGAGAATACAAATCAGAATGTGACAGAAGAGCAGTCGTCGTGCAGTTCCAAATCGACGCAAACTGCAGGGACATACCAGCCTTCGGTTGCGAGCTTGGGCGGTTCGTTTTGCGGAATGTGATAAAGTGCGCTCATCGCATGGATGTCGTACAGTGGTGGGCGCCGATCGGCCAGCTCGATGCAAGTGATGCCAAGCGACCAAATATCAATTTTGTTTTCATACGTTCCGGTTTCCATGGCCATGATGAGCTCGGGAGCCATCCTAAGAGAAGCGGCAAACGCAGACAACGCAGACAAGTTTCGACGTTAGCAATCAAGCTTTGCAAGCGAAGGCGAATGGATCGAGTAGTCCGCAGCTCCTCAAGGACTCACCAGTAAGGCGTGCCGATGAAGGTGTTTGCCGGATCCGCCATGGATGCAGAACCAAAATCGGCCACCCTCACTTGACCGTCCTCGGTGAGAAGCACATTGTGGCCTGTTAGAGTTTTGACAAGTGTAAGAACTCGCAGCTTTCGAGACACTCGAGGACGGCAAAACATCCCAAGAGAACTGACCTTTGATGTCTCGGTGGATTTTCTTGCCTTGGTGCAAATAATTCAGGGCCTGTCCATCGCACAACCAACGACCGAGGACGGGTTGGAACGGGCAGACCACAAAAAAAAAACACAAGCTCCCAACAAGAACCAAAGGGCATTGCGTACCTTCAACACTTCTAGCACGATTGCGGAGATTTCCTCTTCGGATAGTGGTGTCCTGAAAACTGTGCAAGCGAGGGAAAAACGAGAACGACGCTGTTAGCAAACGATCAAAGTGGAACGCGGAACGACACGATTCGGAAAAAAACAAACCTTCGACAATATCGGTTGCGGAACCAACGCAATACTCCATAGCCAGCTGTGGATGCACAAACACCACCGTTTGTTTTTAGGGGGGGGGAGATGTGAGACACTCACGCAAAATCAGAGGATGCGGTGCGACTGAACGAATTGAATGAACGTACCCAGATGGTGTTGCCCTTGATGTAGGCGCCCTTGTATCGGCAAATGCTTTCGTGGTCGCACGACCGGATGAAGGCAATCTCCTTGAAGACCTCTTGCCACTCCTGCAGCCAGTGCAAGGTGGGATTGGCCACGATTAAGTACTGATGATCAAGGTACAAATTGGCCCATCACAAATGAAGGCTTTTTTTCGTGTTACCTCATCGCTGTGTCTGCCCTTGCTGACCGTCATCTTCTTGATGGCGACAATCTCGCCAGTGCGCTTATCCCGACCCTATGAGATTTTTGCAGGCAGCCCAGCCACGGAAGCCAGTGAGTCATCCATTGCGGCAGCGGTTTTCTCCAATTCATTTTTCGCGTTCCACCGCTCTCTCTCTCTCTCTCTCTCGCTCGCTCCAGCTCCTCCCCGCTCTCCATCACTCGCGCGCGCGCATTCTTCCGTGAGTGCTGCTCGCTCGGGCTGCGCTGTCCGTTTTCTCGTCGACAACTGAGGCGCGCGTTTTGAACGTCGGTTTTTGGGTTTCATCCAATCAACGTCCAGCAGCTCCGCCCCAAAGCAGACGCTATCGGAGGAACACGCCACGCGGCGTTAATCCCGACGATACACGGAAATCACGCCATCGCGTCGTGCTGCTCAAATGCATCTGAATGTCGTTGAAAGCGGATGTGTCGGGTGTGTGTCGGCGTAGGGGGCAGGCGCGGAAGTGCGAGAGACTTGACGATCTGAACTGACAAATGCGTCATGTTTGGCGCTCTTTTCTTTCCCTCCGCTGCTGTATGCACGCTTTTTCCACGCTCCTAAAGTACACACGCATGGCCGATCACGACGCACACAGCAGAGCAAGGGAAGAGAGAGATGTGGGCTGCTGTGGTTTTGTAGAGTAAAAGACGGGGAAGGGGGGAAACCGCGTCCCAAACACCTCCTCCTCACGCTCGTTCTTCAACCACTCGTCCCCCTGCTCCAAAACAGCGGCTCTCATCCGCAATCACACACACACGCACACAACACTCATGTATCAAGTCGTTCAGCCGATCGGGTTGCAAGAGACAGATCTGCTTTTGCCTCCAATCGATCAAACAAAAACGCCTCTCCATCTGAGTTTCAATAGCCATTATTATTGTTTTATTATGATTTTTTGATGCTTTTTTTTTTTTTTTTTTTTTTTGGCTTTGCTCTGCTCAAAGATCTCACTCGTTCGCATCGACGTGGGCCTCGTTCCTCGCTCGCTCATCCCAATCCACTCTTCACCGCATGTCCGTCTTAGAGTTCTCCTCAAGCCCGTGTCTCGTGCTCGTGATGGAGCCAAAAGGCCAAAGCATCCCTCCAAGTTCGAAAATAAAAAAAAAATAAAAAAAAAAATAAAACAGCTGCTGAACTATTGCTCGGTTTGGCCGAGATTTGAATCAAAGCGACAGCGAATACTGGCGGCAGCCGGCAGAGCGACCGTGTCGACGCACACGCGCAGTACGCTCGCATGCATACACACACAGCAAGCACCACGCGCAGTGACGAGCGCACAGAGACACTGCGCGATGCAAGAGCCTGTTCTGTCATGTTTTGGACAAAAACACACGACAGCCAAAAAAAAAAAAAAAAAAAAAAAAAAAAAAAAAAAAAAAAAAAAAAAAACACTTTCTTTTTTGTTTTTTCACCCTGACTCGCGCGAGTCAGGCCCAGTGTGTTCGCTTCACGGAGCAACATGGAACAAACCACAAAGGGGTGCTGATACCGTAGACCAAGTGGGTGATTTTTGGAAGCAGCAAGTTCCCCCAATGGTTTTCGCTCTTCAAGTGCACAAAACCCTCCCTCAACCCTCCCTCCAACAAAACGCCGAAGCTTTTCAAGCAGCGTTTTCGTGTTTTTGAGCAACGATTGACCCACTTTGAAGACGGCGCCAAAGCTGCCGTGACCAATCTCCTGCAGACACTCAAAGACATCCTCAGGGTTGCCGCTCGTGAACAGATCAGCCGGCACGTCGCCTGCACTCGAGGGAAGGCGATCGCGGACCATTTCACCCACGAAGAAGAAACAAAGGGAAAAAAAAAAAAAAGAAAAAAAAAAAGAATGGCAAACACGAAAAAGAAAAAAAAAACAAATTTGGGGTGAATGTGGTAAGCTCAGCGCTGCTTGCGGTCAGACAAGACGAAGCAGCAGCGGCAGCAACAGAGAGATCTGACAGCATCACTGTTTGATTTCGGTGGAGGATGGAGGCGGGGGGTCGTCTTCAACTGAACTCCCGCGCTCACGGATTGAGTGATTGAAATTGTGTCGCGCGCGCTTGCGGTTTGGAATGGAACGCGATCTGGACTCATGACGGCGAGTTAATCACATCTTGCTCAGTCTACGGTACTATTTTGCTTCAATCCGTGCTCATTCCTACTGGGCCAAGAAAGGGTGGGTCAGAACGAACGCTCAAACAGAGCCAGTGTTTTCGCGCGCTCATTGAAAAAACAACCACCAACACCCCCGCAGCTCAAGCTTCACGGTTGATGAGAAATGCTATCAAGATCTAGACACAAAGCCCCAATCACAAACCATTAGGACCAAACGCAAAGAAATGACGAGAAAAACATGAAAGATATCACATGTACAAAGATGCAGACAAAAACAAAAACACAAAAAAGCAACACATCACACACGACGCTCCTATGCATCACTTCGCATTTGAGCAACAACTGAGATTTCGCGCTCGAGAGCTTCCAGAGCTTCCGACTGCGCAAGGCGCACCTTGTTCAAAAACTCGTTTTGCAGCGTCGCGACTTCCCGCGTGATTTGCTCCTGGGCCTTGGCAATTGCATCGGCCACTCGCGTTTCGAGCGACTTTGGCCGTGATCGCTGCGACAGACGGCTGCTGTTCAGCGATGTTGCCGCGCTGGACCGGCCTGCCACAGATGTGGCCGTGAGGGGAATTCCGGCACCGCTGTCAGAGTTGCTGCCAGACTCCAAGCCAGGCAGCGCCATCAACGCATCGGTGGAGTACATGCGCTCGAGCGAGCCAAACCCTCCGGGAGCAGGACGACGATCCCCTCCAGCGCGAACGGGCGCGGGTCGAGGTTGACGTGCAAAGTGGGGTGCGTCGTGCAGTGACTCAGTCGACGCCGAGAACGCGGACGACAGTGCAGGCGCAGGGTTTGAAGTGGAGGCAGCAGAAGAATCAGCGGCAGCAGAAGCAGCAGCGGTAGTCGTCGGAACAGCCGAAAAGGCAGAGCCTGTTCCCCTGCGACCGTCGGTCTTGGGCTGCACGACGGGGAGAATGTCGTCGTCGCTCGAACGTTTCGTACGCCAGTCCGTGTTCATGGTCATGCCGCTACGGTTGGAAATAAACTCGAGATCATCGACGCTGGCCATGGCCGACTTGAGAATGTCCAAATTGCCACCCAGTGACTCGCGAGGCGGACGCCGCGCGCCTCGCTGCTCGGGGAGTAGCTCGCCATTGATGTCGAAAATGTTGGTGTGCGAGCTTGGCAAGTGTCCGCCGTGCCGATCGCAGCCAAAGTGCACAGACACATCGCAGGCCTGCGCAGCCGTCAGGATTTCTCGCAGACGCACGTTGTCGATAAACAAGCGCGGCGCCTGGTTGTTAAAGCCCTCCAGGGTCGTGGCCAAGCGGTAGCCGTCCTCGATGATGAAGATGAACACGTTGATGATGGCAGTAATGAAGAGCACGCAGAACGTGTACATGTACACACGGGCAATGGCGCGATAGGTGAAATCAGCCTTCTCGTCGAGGGTGGTGAACACTTGGAGCACGGAATCGCCGTTGATGACGGCGAAGAGGGTGACGGCCGCAGAATCAAGCGATCCAAACAGTTCCGTCAGCTCGGAGAAGAGGGCAACGCCAGCAAGCGCAAAGCCCAAGAACACAGGAAGCGCAGTAATGATGAAGCGTGCAATGCGGCCAATCGAGCAGCGAACGGCAAGAATGAGCATGTAAAACTCAATCCGCCACTCGAGGAACTTGATGAGATTGAGCCAGCCGCAGAGAATACCAATCGCCGTCGTGAGGTCGCCAGGATCGACAGTGTCGGTCGACGTGTCAAAGTCGGAGGTCGCAGTCAGTGCGTACAGCGACGACACAATCACCATAATATCACCAATGATGGTGGCCAGGTACCACGTGTTGAAAAAGGTCGACTTGTCGCGCAAGCTCAGCCGAGACCAGGTGATGGCCTTGTCATCGAGATGCTCGACGCAGTGATGGTCGCGGCCCTGGAGCCGCCGACGCGCAAACATGAAAATCTTGTACGACTTGAAGAGAGCCTTGATTGTCAGCAGCAAGGAGCAAATGGCAAACAGCAGCAGCAGCAAATCCAGCGTAAAGAACGGCTGGACGGTGGTGTCGGCCACTTGCTTGCTGATGACAACCGTCACCGACACGACGCCGCCGCCATCCGTGAGATCGTACTGGATTTCGCAGCGCCAAGTAAACTGCACAGTGCCGACGAGGCTGCTTGTTTGCCACGACACGAGGTTGTACACGGCCGTCATAAAGTAGAGATTGTCAAACAGCGGGCGATCCAACGTGTCGTTGCCGAAAAACGGGCCGATAGGATTTGCCTGCGTGAGCGTATACTCATGGCTGGAGATTGTCAGATCGATGTCTGGAGAAATGTACGGCGTGTTGTTGGCATAGGATTGGACAGTCCTGTGTGTGGAGGTGGAGGGGGGGGGGAAAGTGCAAGTTAGGACGACTGTGATGCAAAGAAGGCAAACACTCTGTTAAAAAACTGGACAACTCACAAGACGATTGGGAAGGTATGCCCTGTCTTTGGATCTTTGGACGAAAAGTGCGACACACAGTCGGTCGTGAGAGCAGCGTAATCTGTGGAGGATGATCAGACAGACGGAAGGCATTGTCAGTTTTCCAAATGAACAAAGCGAAAAACAATCATCACCATCCTCAGGCCACGACCGCGACACGTACTATTAACAGAGTTGGTCAGGTGGGAGGTAACGTCGGTCATGGAAAAGAGCGTGCTCTGCCACACGTCCGGGTCGGGACGGAAGTACTGGTGGAACGTTTCGTGCTGGTGAGCAACATAAGTCGAGTATGTTCCGTTCTCCAGCAGAATGCGGGTCGTCAGCAAGGCTGTCACAAGAACGTTGAGAATGAACTTGAACGGGATGCGTTTGAACCGGGTGAACTTGGTCCACGGGCTCAGTGTGAGCTGCTGCTTTTTGGACAGCCTCGGCGGTCTGCCAAAAAAAAAAAAAAAAACAGATTCATCATCAGGTTGGAAACAGCGAAATCCGTGAGTTTTCATACTTTGCTCGAGTCATGCATGTTGAGCATGCTTTTGACAGACTGTTGACTGTTTGGATGTTCGAGCCCACCCCTTCCAGCCCTTTCCACCCCCGTTCCACCCTCACTTGATCTGAAGGACTTTAGCAAGAGAATAATAAATTCCGCCCCATCTTTTCCATGCTAATGCTTTTTTTTTTTTTTTCGTTTTTCTTCTTGCTTTTTTCCACCAAACACGAAAGAGAACGTCGTGACCATGTTCGTTTGGTTTCTCGCACTCGTTGAAGAGGAAGAGAGAATGAGAGAGAAAGAGAGAGAATCAGAGAAGGAAAGGGGGGTTCGTGATCCCACAGTAATAGATGGAGACACGCGCCTGCCACACCACACCACAGTGTGCATTGTCAACTCCACTGCCGAGACAACCCTCACACACACACACACACATTGTCATGCAACAACAATAAACACAACGAACAAAAAAAAAAGCTCATCCACTTACGCGAGGTTGGGGATGAAAAAGACAGAGCGCTTGCTGCTGCTGCCACCGGCTCGCTGACCGCCAGCGACGCTTGGTGACCCCGCTCGGCTGGTCTCGGCCGACGCGCGCGGGCTGCCTGCCGAGGAGGTGAGTCCTGGAGTTCCGGAGCCGGCCGCGGACGCGCCGGTCTTGTCGTTCGCATAGAGGGCGGCTGCTGGAGCTGCGGTCGATGCAATGGCGGCGGCAATAAAGCCAGACCGCGGGGTTGCGCTCGGCGACGTCGGGTTGCCCGTGATCTTGGCAATCATGTTGGACGCAGACTGCTTGATGGACGACAGAATCCCGGGTGTGACGACGGGTGACGCCGGGCGCTTGCTGGCCGAGGATGCTCCGCCTGCTGCTGCTGCTGCAGAAGAAGAGGAAGCACCGCCTGACCCTGCGGTGGCACCGGCTGCCCCGTCCAAACCAGACCCGGCAGGGCTGCCGCTGCGTGCCGTGAAGACAGTGCTGTTGCCGAGCGTCGCGGCTGCTGCAACGGCGTTGCTGTGGTGGCTGCTGCTGCTGCCGCTCATGGCGAGTGGCGCGACATCGCCGTCGTTGTTGTCGGGTGACGCGCGAGGCAGTGTCCCAGCGCCACCCAGCGCATCAGCACCGCTGCCGCTGCCGCCGCCGCCGCTACCACCACCACCAGTCGCTGGAGGCAGTTCCTCAGCCAGGGGTGACTCGTCCGCCTCCAGCAGCGGAACAGTGTCGGGTGCACGCGGCATTTGTCGGGAGGAGTTGCTTTAGTTCAAAATTGTCAACAGAATCAAAAAAAAAAAAAAAAAAAAAGGAAAAACTGAAAAAGAATGAATGAATGAATGAATAAATGAATGAATTAATGAATCATTGGGGAAAGGTCGACATTCGAATTGGAAACAGCAATCAAGGAGGTGCTTGCACGGTAGTTGAGTGACGGACGCGGCTGAATGTTGGGCTGGCAACCATCACATAAAGTTCGGGGCACATGTGACTCGCATCAACTTCCATTTACTCTACCGATGGCAACCCTTTGATAGTGCTATTGTGCGACGAGAGGACGAGAAAGATTTAACTTAAACTTGTATTGTTAATAAAGAGATGCAGACAGCACGCTCAAGTTTGATGGCCAAAAGACGGCGTAACGACGAGGGATTGATAGTTAAATTCGCATATAATTGCTCATGTCCTGAAGAAACAAAGAGAAACCAAAATAAAAAGCAAGTGAGGACGACAGTAGAATGCAAAAAGAGCAAAAGGCAAGAGAGCGCAGTAGAAACAGAGAGAGAAGAGATTTCGAGGGGGGGATCAGACATCCAAAGAAGGCTATTCACTTTTAGCTCACACAGTCCTTCCCCTTGGCAGAGGAGGATTTCGAGAGGAAACTGCGAATATGGGATTAAACTTCATCAATTCGTCCCCCAAGAAAAGAAGAGAAAAGGGGAAAAGGGGTTTGAGAAAAAAAAAGTAAAAATTGGGAAAAAGTAGATCACGAATCCACGATCAAAGGATCAAAGAATGAAACTAGCGGATGAATACAGGTAATGAGTGAGGTAATGTGATGCTTACCATGAATGAGAACAAGGGTTAGAGGTTGGGACGACGTCGCAGCAGCGATAGCAACGACCACGCGGCCAACCGCATGGCCAGACGAAAAAGCGACGTGATCTGGCTTTGAAGGGCGCCCGTCCTGCCGCGCGTTCGTTCAGTACACTATAACAGTGTGTCTTGAAGTGTAAAATGTCCAATCAAGGCATCCAGGAAGAAGCCAAATCTTGGAAAAACGACTCCAACGAGTCGCAGCGCCCGACCGCGTGGTCCAAAGCAAGTTTGGAGCGCCAAACGAGCAGCGCGAGTCTAGATTTGAAGAGCAGCACAGCGCAAAGCACAAGTGAGTCGAGAAGAACCAGTGCAGAAGGAAAGCCGAACGGCAAAAGGAAGAGGAGGAAGAAGAAGAGCAAAAGAGATAAAAAAAAAAAAAACAAGGGTCCACGTGGAAAAAAAAAAAGAAAAGATCGCGAGATCTTGAAAGGAAAGGGCGGATCAGAGGTCTTTTCTGGCAAGAAACCTATCGCCCCACGCCGACTGAGTTGTTGAGACACAGAAGGCTCTAGTAGAAGCGATAGTTCGGAGCACAAGGCTCCGTTGTTCTTGAGCTAGGCGCTGGGAAGAAACACCACGAGGGCGAATCTTCCAACGCTTTGACGCAAACGAATGCGTGTCAGCATGTATCGATGCAGTCGGGAAAAGAAAACAAAATAAATTGTAATCTCGTGCTCATCAGATCCAAGAAGAGGAAGGAAGAAGAAGAAGAAGAAGAAGAAGAAGAAGAAGAAGAAGAAGAAGAAGAAGAAGAAGAAGAAGAAGAAGAAGAAGAAGAAGAAGAAGGAAGAGGAGGAAAGGAAGGGAGTGGAGAAGAAGAAAGCTTACTCTGCAAAAAATGGAAAAATGCGGGACTGAACTCGTTCCAAATCTGGAATTACAGAATAAATAGAAACTGAATGGAAATGGAAGGCTTGTGGTGACTGAGGTGCGTGCTGTCCGTCGACTGGCGCAGACGATCGATAGATGATGGGGGGGGAGGTGAGGGAAGGAGAAAACAAAGGACATTTGCGCGCCAAGTCAAGCAACTCTCAACAGCATTCCCTGGCTTGCCCCCTTCAACAGGAATCAAAAAATCGTGTTGGACAAACACACATTCATACACACACATCAACACACACCAACAGAACCTCAAATCGAAAAAAAAAATGAAAAACCATCTGAATCACTTTTCGTGCATCACGCGCACAAGATTGGCTCGCATGGGATTGTGAATCAGATCTGTCAGGTTCTCGAGCTGAAGCTTGGTCGCCTCGTCGTCTGGCACCAACTGCTGGTACTCGACAAAGAGCTGCTGCGCGCCGAAAAAGTCGCGAGCAATGTAGGCTTCAAACGCACGCGTGAAAAGCTTGGCTTTAGTGATTTGGTCGCTGGTTGCTTCTGCGACGTGGCAAATGAGCTCGTAGACGACAACTGGCAGCGCCTTGCCCTTGACTGCGACGAGATCCAGAGGCCGACAGACGAAGAAATCTCTAACGTGAGCGTAAGTGTCTTGGGAAATCATAACATACGTGCCATAGGACTTGTTGAGGCCCTCTAGACGCTGCCGAATGAAACGAGGAGCAACCAAGAGGTGAGCTGAAACATGCCATTTCCGCGCAATCAGACACCACACCACACCAACGAACAAAACCACGTACGCTGGCAAGATTCACGGCATCACCGATCGCCGTGTAGTTCAAGCGAGCCTTGGATCCGAAATTGCCAGCAATGGCTTCGCCGGAATGAATGCCAATACGTGCAGCAACTTCCGGGAACCCTCGAGCCACCCACGCTGCAACCCAATCAAGCCATCATCGGCAATCAGCATTCGCAATCACAAAACCCTCAACACAACCAACGCCATGCACACGCACCTTTTCGAAGCTCGGCAAGTCGTCGGTGACACTCGAGTGCAGCACTGCAAGCAAGAACTGGGTGACCCTCCTTGGCAACGGGAACATTCCACAGCGCCATGATGGCGTCACCGATATACTTGTCCACCATTCCTGCATCCAGGAAGGCAATGGCCAAACACAGAACGGCACAACATGAACTCCATCAGTGAGCGCTTGTTCAAATTGGAACTGAAAAACAGCAACAATCAAAAAAGCAACGACTTTGTTTTTGTTCTTGTTTTGTTTTGTTTTTTGTTGCTTACCTCCATGCGAATTAACAATAGTCGACATTTCTTCCAAGTACTCGCCAAGTAGCTCAATAAGCATGTCAAGATCGAGCTTTTCGGAAATCTTGGTAAAGTCGGCAATGTCCGAAAAGAAAATGGTGATAAAGCGCCGATCGCCGCCAAGAGATGCAACCATGTTGTTGTGACCCAGGTATTGGACAACCTCAAGCGGCACATACTTGGAGAAAGACCGGAGGGAGGCACGCATGTGGAGCAGCGCCTTGGAAACGCGACTCACTTCTTTGATGGGCGCATTCAGATCGGACTCGTCCACGCCACTGGAGAAATTCATGTCCGAAAACTCACTCAGTTGTTTGGTGGTGCGCATGAGTTGCCGCGTGACAAGCGTCAGGATCAAAAATCCCAGCAAGCATGAGCCGACCGTGATACCGGCTGCAGCACCAATGGACTCCCCGATCGCAGTGTTCAACCCCTCCAAAAAGACGCTCTGGGGAACGGCAACGATCAAAATGAACTCAAGACCCGTGAGGTCCCGGAAGAGATGAACGGTGGCGAGCATGTCATTGCTCAGAGTGAACGTCTCAACTTGCTGGTAGGGGTGCAATGGTGCCAGAGCTCCGCAGTACCACGAGTAGTTTCCATTCCGAGGACAGCCGCACAGCGCACACAAAGCCCCCTGCGACACCTCGGCAACAGCTTGGTTCACGCTGTGCTGAGCAATGACAAGCGAGCCGCCAGCCTCCAGAGGGGCATTGACCGAGGTCGCAATGAGGTTGGACGTGGATGGCTCCAAAAGCATGGACAGTCCACCTTCTTGAAGGTCGAGACCCTCCATGTAGGACGAAATGCCCGTGAGGAGCAAATCGATCGCGACGACATAGAGGATTTCGCCGGAAACAGGGTCTCGCACTGGCGCAACACCCGAGATACCAGCCTGCACGGGGGACGAAAACGTATAGACCGAAGTCCATGCTGGGGTTGTTGTCGTGATGCCAAGAGCATACCAGGCACGCGAAGTTGCATTGTAAGCCGCCGGAGGGTAAAGGACGTTTGAAGTGTTGTAAACTTGACAGTTCAAATCCCAAGGTAAGCATGTCGTAGAGACGCCGTACGAGTCGCGCACCAAGCCGCCAGAGGGATCGACAATAGCAATCCATGGAGTGTCGAAATTATCTCCAGTCAAGCCTGCACCGACAAAGAGGCCGGTCGGGGTGGCACAGTACAGCAGCGTGGCGTTCAGCATGGCGTCTGTTTGCGAAAAGGTACTCGATATTGCATGTGCCAGAACTGTAATGTTGGGCGATGGCATGAGATGCAGCATGTTGGCGGCTACAGTGGTGGTAACGAGTGGTGGTAGAAGGAGTTCGCCCAGCTGATTGTCAATCGAAACTGCTTGAGCAGCCAGCAAGGCGGCGGCAGTTTTCAAAGTCTGGTCTTTGGAGGCCGTGTAGGTAATAGACACCGAGGTTGCCACGGCTACAATCAGGAAGATGCACAAGAAGAGGGCAATCAATGTTCGTAACGAGCAGCGTTTTCGCCATAGCTTGTGCTTTGACGGATCATTGTTGTGCAGGACCCTTGCGAGATCGACAGTCTCAGACTGCATGTTCCGGTCGTGGATGCCGAATCGGCGCTTAATGTTTTGGAGAAGGTGCTTGGGCATCAACGATGCGCTGTTTGATCTGTCATGCAAAATCGGGTGCAGCGCCGTGACGCGGTACCACGTTGAAGAAACGCTATCTCCTCGCATGTTGGCCAGGCGAACAACAATCTCGCCAACCGCAGACACAACCGAAGTGTTTTGCACGAGAGAGGAGGACGAGAGCATTGCATTTGCTGCGGCAGGTTGGGCGAAGGCGGGGGACGCAGCCACTGACGAAAGGAGGGCAGCAATGCCAAACTGATTTTGGGACTTTGAAGTCCCGCTCAGTCGGGCTGAATGGTGACGAGGCAACGACTGCATCTCGAAGGAAGAATCCGAGCTGGAACCAAGTGCGGATCGAGAGCCCAGCCTGGGAGAGCTGGGCATGGTGGTTACTGCTCCAGCCTCGTTGTTAGACAATGCTGCTGCTGGTGGTGGTGGCAGACTCGTGGAACTTGTTTGAGAAGTGTTGCACTTGATTACGCCACGCAAGATTGGGTAACGGGATCGAGAGGTCGAAAGCGAGCGCTTCGCAGTGGCCGGTTGCAGCGAGGATGCGTCCTTTGGCGCCTCGGCGCGGTCTGCACGTGTCCGCTTGCCATCCCAATCAAAGACGAGAATATCGCGCCAAGTGATGGAGGTGTCGTCAGCAACTGGGGCATTGGCCTGTGCGTGATTGAACTTGGTCGTGCTGGTGGTGCGAACAAGCGCGCTGTCCTTTGGCGCGTGCTGAACCAACGGCACTGTTGCTGCCACTGCCTCTGATGAAGCCGACAGGTGGAGGTAAAACTCGACAAAGGGGTTGCTGGCCATCAGCTCCTCAGAGACATTCGCCAACTGGATCTCGCTCAGCTCGAGCTGCATCTTGGGAACGCTTCTTGAGGCGTCTGCCTGCGTCATCGTGTAGCGGATGGAAAGGTGAAGCACAGGTCGCCGGCCACCATCCGTCGCCTCTGGAGAAGATGAGATGAGATGGCCAAGACACCAGAAATCAGATGAGTGAGTTATCATGACAACAGGGAAGAACAAAACCACCACCCCCAAGAGGTAAAAACTTGCAGACAGACAGACAGACAGAAAGAAACAAGAACAACAAACCGCCTTACGATGCTCGCCAGCAACCACCAGCGAATCTTCCCGAAATGCTTCCAAGGTCGAGTCGTTTCCAATGAACGTGCTTTTTCGCGGCATTTCAAGCAGCATGCTCTGACGTGTCGGGTCGTTCATGCTGTAACGTGTGGTGTCTACGTCGACAGTGTCTAGTTGATTGATGGACGGCAGACGATGCAGCGGAACGGCCTTGGGAAGGAATTGATCAACCGAGAAACGGTGCTGCACCGTCACTGGTATTGCTGTCAAATCGGACGAGGCTTTTGCAGCCAGCGGGACATGGGCTTCGAGAATTTGCGCCTGTCCCGTGCTCGAAATGACGTAGGAGGGTCGGCGCTTTTCCACAATGTTGGGCTCGTGCTTGTCCAGAAATCGTGACAAGTCTTTCGTGCGCGGCGCCTTCATTTGAAGGACCTCGTCATCGCTGTCTTCCGCGTCTGAGACGGCCGGTGAGGGCTCTACCGAAGAATTGATCTCTGGTCGCAGGGTTGTTGTTGGCGTGTTGCCGCTCGAGCCATCGTGGTGCAACGACTCCACACCTTCATGGTCTGTCACGACAATGGACGCCATGTAACTATGCCGTCTTGTCATTAACTGTGAGGCAAACCTAGTCTCCGACTGCTGTATTTGGCAAACCAAGTCAATCGTTTAGAGTCGGGCGAAAATGAGGTTTGAGACGACAGCAGAGTGTGAAGTGGTTTCAAGTTCTGAGTCACGCACGGGGTCGGGGCTTCGGTTACGTCGCTCGCTCGCGCTCTCACTCACTCACTCTCACTCACACACACACACACACACACACACACACACACACTCTCTCTCTCTCTCTCTCTCTCTCTCTCTCTCTCTCACACACACTCTCTCTCAACGTTGCTGGTCGATCGATCGCAAAATCAAAGTCCCACATAAACACCCGACGCCAACGAATCGCTGGCAACCAAACCAAATCGTTTTCGGATCCAGGGTTTGGTTCAAAGAAGTCAGTCTCGCTTCAACAGCGTCCGCGCCGTGTTGCGGCTCGCCTTCAGCCCAGCAACATGGGCCACGGCGTGCAAGTGGCAACCCATGCATCCCGCGCTACGGGCCAAGGCGAGCACTCACAAGGGACAAACAACCGAGCAGTGGGTGGATAGGGCGGGTTTCTCTTTTTCATTTTTTTTTTTTTTTTTTCCCTTTGATTTTTTTGATACAGCCATTTGAACGACAATTCGCTTTTCCCTAGAGAACAGGATGTGAGGCAGCGGGGGAACAGGATGTGAGGCAGCGGGGGAAAAACACATCGAAAATGGGCGGCAGGCAAAGGCAAGTTTGCAAAAGGACACAAACAGCTGTTTCGCATTACTTGTTTGGAAAAAAAAAAAAAAAAAATGCGCGTTTTGTTGTGTTTGCTCAGGTTTTCAGTGAAGAAAAAAAAAGTTAAAAACCAGACCAACTGTGCTTTTTTTATTTGGGGAGGGGTTTTTCGTTTTTTTTTTTTTTTCTTTTTTCTTTTTTCTTGTGCTTTTTGTTTCGTTTGGTGTCTCTGTTTCGCCGTTGCTTCAGCGGTCGCCACACGCACAGAGAAGGAAGAAGCAAGTGTGGCAGGCGCAGGGAGGAGACGGGGAAAAGCGGGAAGGGCAAGTTGAGAGAGAATGGGCTTGCTGCACGCGACGGGGTCGAAGAGTAATGGTGACAGATGCGGTTTGGAGCGCGGGCTTTGCTTACAGATGCGGCGAGCGACGTGCCGTCCGTCGGTGTAGAGGACGAGGACGCTGGCAGCAGCAGCGACTCGGAGGTGGTTGCGAGCGCGGCAGCGGCAGCGGCAGCGGCCTCGTCCAATCCGGGCGATTTTGGATCTTGCGCCTGGGTCTCGAGCTGGTGACTCAACGAGCTCTCGTCGGTGAGCTCAGAGCTGTCGCTCGGCGGTGCGGGGTCCAACAGCATCGACCTGCGTGTTGTCATGTATGGGGGGCTCTGTGGCGCTGGTGGTGGTGGTGTTGCGGCAACCCCTTTCAGACCCGTTTGTGGAGAGCACGAATCGAACGACAGGAATATCAAACAAAACTTGGACTGGCGCACGGGAGGAATTTCATTAAAATGGATCTCAAAGCCTTGACAACCAACCCGGGTGATGTTATTGTAAGATAGCACTCCATTGCTCACTGATCGCCACCAGCTTTGAGATGGTCGGGGCGGTCAGTTCGTTACTCGCAACACAGTTTGCAAAACAAGTCCAATCCTGGAAATTTTGATAAAAAATTTATCTAAAAATTTACTCGCTCAAGCTAATGGAGAATGAGTGTATGTCACTTTACAATGAGTGGTGTAGATCTAACAATGTATGTCATTTCACAGGCATGTCAGAGTCCGAGCTCAGGCGATCACAGGCGTCGATGCAGTTGCAATCGCGTTTATGTTTTTTGTTTTGAAGAGTTCATTATTCTTTGGGTTTTTTCTTCGTTTCTCCCTGATGTGCACAAAGCCTCTGATCAGAGTGTGCGTAGTGTCAGGCGATCCGCCCAGAATCGAGGAGTACAGCACGTACTGTCGTCCGCTGAAGGTTTCACCAAGCGACAAAATCGAATTGCTGGGCAGGATGCTCGGACGAGAGAGCATGACATTTACGCTTGACGTTGAGCGCAAGCACCCAGTCCTGCCTGGCCAGACTATCGAGGCAGCCTGGCAGCTTGCACAACAACAGCAGCTACCAGAGAGACTCGCGCTGTTGGACCGTCCCGTGTTCTTTGCTGTGCCTGATGCGAAACCGACAAACGAAGACATGACCTTGGCTTTCCTTGAAAAGCTCGTGGAAAGCGGCGGCGGCCGATGGATGACCGACGAAGAGGCCCAGCAAGCGTATCAAGACGTCTGTGATTCCATGAGCGGGACCTATGTGTTCAAGTGATTGTTGTCCTGTCTCCGCTCGCAATGCATTTGAATGCCAGTGTCAGGCTGAGCTGAGAACCGTTTTTGCAGGGTTTGGAATCCTCCCTGCTGCTCCTGCCGCTGGCTGTGCCTGCCTGTGCCTATGGTCGCTCTTGTCGGGTATGCGGCTGAATTTATGGCGTTCAAGGAAGCCAAGCAAGCCGAGTTTGACGCAGTAGTCGAGATTATAAAAAGGATTATATGCCGACAATCGTTTTGCAATCAATTTTAAGCATGGGAGGTGTGTGCAATTTCGATTGAGGGTACCATACATTTATTTGAGCACACTGGCGCAAGGGAAGGGAGGAGGAGGTCGGGGAAGGGGTCCAAAGGAGAGAGAAAAGAGTATGAAGAATGAGTCGTCATTTTACAGTTCTTGTCTCCGAAGAACCAACCTATAAGAATAGAACAAGCAACAAGACAGACGTTCCATGCAAAAGAATAACTGATGCGATGACAAACCAACTTTCGACAAGCACTGCATAGGACTACAATTCACTCGTCTACCTTACCGCCCAACCAAACTAACATCTCCGCTATGGTATAGACGGTCAGCATGGGGCACTCTCACTGCCCAGACCCGGGTTCGAGTCCCGGTGGCGGAACTTCTTTTTTGGTTTTTTTCCTGGTTTATTTTTTTTTCTTCTTCTTCTCCTTCCTTCGTGAGCTCACTGTGCCTTTTGCTCTTTCCTACTCTTTTGCTTCACACTTGTGGCTGTGTGTTGCTCAGAACGAAACAATGCCAGAGCCATCTACAGTAGCTCTAGTCCTTTTTTTTCGTTTTGCCCCAATCCATGTTTCAAGACGACTTGGACGACTCGGCGTTTGACGCTGAACTGAACAACGACGTGCGGCGACTAAAACAGGTAGGACTATTGCTTTTGCAGCCAAACGGTGACACAGCGAGAGGACGGCGATTGGGGAGAAGGCGTTTTGGCGACTCGACCTGCAGTTTGGCGCGAAAACAGCCACTCTCCCGCCAAAATTCGTTGTTGTTTGGCACTGCTTTCTGCGTGCTGCCCTCAGGCACAGCAACGTCGCTCATGCGGCCCAACCATGCTTGACTTGCGACTGTGCACTTGCCACTTGTCTGCGATTGCGTCGTGCGATTGACGGAGCAGGCGAGTGAACTCAATCCATTTTCGCTCATCACTTGCTTCCTCACAGAGCTGGCTGAACGAGAAGAACGCGCCTGAGATTCTACAATTCGAGTCCGAGCTCGTCAAGGATCTAACTGACAATGTCCAGACCCAGGTAAAAGCCGTGCTGAAAAACTGAAAGCAAACACTTTTGGTCGAGCTCGGGCATCTCTCACTGCCCCATCTCTCGCTACCCGTCTCCCTCGACGTAGATTCGACAATTGTCTGAAATTCAATCGTCGGACGTCATGACCGCGTTTGCAAACAACCTCAAGCGGATGGAGTACGACCGACTGCTTTTTGTCATTCGCAGCTATCTGCGCACCCGGCTGACCAAGATCCAACGACATGCCATGTACATTCTCAGCTCGGCTGAGATGCGCCAGCGATTATCCCCAGAGGAGCTAAGATTTACCCATTCGTACGTTGCTGGTGTTTAAGCGGTTTTTTTTTTGTTTTTTTTTTTTTTTGTTTTTTTTTTTTTTTTTTTGTTTTGTTTGTTTTTCAAGTGGCTTATTGGTTTCTCGGTCGATGCAGCTATGTCACGCTTTCGGAACAACACTACTCGAATTCGTGCTTGCACGACTTTCCTGAAATGATTCAACGGCTGGATGAGGTACGAAACGCTGAAAGTTGCACCCTCTGGCACTACTTCCCTTCCTTACACTCACCCTCAAACTTTGGATTCTTTCGTGCCATCTTCTGCTTCTATTCCCGTATGTTCAACCTCTGCAGAAGGGCATGATTCCAGAACCAGATCTGCAAACCCATGTCTTTTGCAAAGTTATGGAGGATGTTGGCGACGTTGAAATCGAGCGTGCGGATGTTTCCGGTGTCAATTCCGTCACCTTGCTCAAAGGCGATCAATTCCTGTTGCGCTATGAGCCTATAAGGCCGCTGGTTGCAAACGGGTCGGTTGTTTTGCTTTAATGCTTGTAGCGATGCTTTGAATGAAACGCAGCATTGATGTAATTTTCAATCGATGTGCTGAGAATAATAAAAGACACAATGTACATGTACTAAATCGAAGAGTATGCATGCGAGCAAAACCTGTCACAGCATTTAGTCCTTTGGAAGCTGCCGCCTCGCCTCAACTTCCTTCCTTGCACGCTCTTGCTGTGGATTCGAGGGAGCTGCACCAAACACTCGATCAGTCAAGTCCTTGCTCACGAGGACATGCAGGCCGGTGCGTGTCTGGATGGGATTGATCTTGAGATGCTTCCAAACGAGGTGCCACCGCTCTCGGAAGGACAGCCGAACAAGCGGACTCCTTTCGGGAGGGACAAACGCAGAAGTGACGTTGGCCCAAATGCCGGCAAAGTCTGGTGTTGAGGTGCCATCAAAGATGGGAATCGTGGCCAGCGACGAGTACGAGTCGACTAGCAGGTTGCGATGCTGCGGCTCGCCAATGACAATGTCAAAAGAAGTGTAGTTTGTGGCGTGTCGCATCCCTTCCGTCTTGTCAATCTCCCAATATTGCGACATTTGCAAAAACCGTGTCACGCCCGTTTGGGCGGCAAGGTTTGTCACATGCAGCACAGGTCGGGCTTCGCCTTGCGAGCGAGCAGCCATCCTGGCGACTTGTGGACTTGTCTCGGCGTACAGAATGGCTTCGCCGCCAGGATAGTTGTAGGTAGTGCCGAACAAGAAGAAGAGCGTTGCCACCACCGACAACAGAAGGCCAAGGTTGGCCAGCCACTTGAGTACAAGGCGCACAAGCGACCGCACATGCCCGCCAAGAAGAGCTGGAGCAGCAGCAGTCGCAGGTCGGTCAAACGCATTATAGATTGTCTGCAAGCCGAGCGCGGCCGAGAGGTTGAAGAGCGGCACGGAATAGAAAATAAAGCGCAGCTCCTTGTGTGGCAGGAAAGAGTAGCCCAAAACGAAACAGGCCGCCACAACGAAGGGCTGGGAATGCTTGAACGCGCCGACCACGCTGAGCGGATAGGCTACGAGGAGCGCTCGTGGGAGGGCGGAGGTAAAGTACCAGTGGAATGGCATGGTGCCCCAGTTCACCGACTGATTGAGAACCGTGTTAAAGTACAAGACCTCGCCTTCAGGCCACAGCCACCGCCGCCAAAAGACAGAGTCAACCAGGATGGTGAGGGCCAGGCTCGCAATACCAGCTACAATACCAGTGCCCACAAGCTTGGCAAACTGCGAGCCGAATGATGAAGGTTGGGCGGCGGTGTGGGGCTGCGCTCGCGATGCCAGCAGCATAACAACGAGCTCGGACAGAAGCAGCGGTGCAAACAGCACAACCAGCTCTGCACGGAAAATGATGCCGGCAAAAGCAAACCAAGCAACCATTGCCTGTCGCCGACCATCCAACCAGGCTGCAAGAGCCAGCAGAACAAAAGGCAAGGCCATCGTGTTTGGCAGAGTGCGACTCGCGTAAAACAGGAAATGGAACTGGCAGATACTCAGGATGGCGACATACACGGCCGTCCGCAAAGAGTAGCGGCGAGTGATGGCTCGCAAAAACCGCCCAAACGTCCAGGCCACAAACAAGCCCAGAACGATGCGGACGATGAGCTGAGCAGCCAGCTTGCTATGAAACGCGTAGAACGCCGGAATGGCGAATGGAGCCGACATTGCAGCGACGAGGATTGCGCCTGGTGAATCGCACATATTCGAAAGTGGTTTGTCAGAGGTTTAGTGAGTCGGGTGCAAATCTGAGCAGGTTAGATTTGACTTCGCTTTTACCAATGAAGGTTCGCGGGACTGGTCCAGTAAACCGAGAGTGGTCAAACTGATGCTCGACGACACAGTCGACATACTTGAGCCAGTCGGACGGATGCACCTCTGCGACCGACGATGGGATGACTGGGATGGCGCACGATGCTAGCTGGCTTGCAGCGTCCGACGATCGTGCGAGCAGACCCTCGATGTTGTTCACTGGCTGGATTTGCGGCAGAGCAAAGAGCAAGTCGTGGATGGCTTGGATGTTGAAGCTCTCCTCGACCTTGGTGAATGGGCAGACAACGACGTAGAGCACGACGGCCAGCACGACCAGCAGATCAAGCAGGACGTGCTGCAGCTGCGTCGCGTTCATAGCTTGAGAAACAAAGACTCTTTGACTCGCTTTGATTTTGTTTTGTGCGTTTGAATCTCAAGGCAAAAATGATGCGACAGAAGCTGCAACACTCGAGTGTGGTGGATTGGACGGACTTTGGCTCAATGCAAATCCCAATGAAAAGTAAAAAGATGAGTGGATAGGAGTGCCAACATGTGCTCTTTCTTTTTGTATTCGTCTCACACTGGGGCATTACAAATGAAGCAACCATCGACATTGGACCGACTTCTTATTCTCTGCTGAGAAGCAGCGTTTTCCATTTCTCAGTCTTCCATTTCTCAGCCATCGTTTGATTTTCTCTTTTTCCAGTTAGAAACCCGTTCATTGTCGATTGCTTTTTTTTTTTTCCTTGCTATTCATGCCATCCGCAAAGACGCCTGTGAGCAAGAAGAAGGAGGCTCCTTCAGCAGTGGCAGCAGCAGCAGCAGCAGCAGCATCAAAGCCAGTCGCAGGGACTGAGAGCAAGAAGAAGGCGACTCCAACCCCAGCCGCCGCTCCAGCTCGGCCGTCCAGCAACAAGCAGTCTCAACAGCAACAGTCATCCAAGCAGCCTCAACAGCAACAGTCATCCAAGCAGAAGCCAAAGCAAGCGGATGCTGTCATCCCTTCGACGTCGACTCCTGCCGCCAGCGGCAAGAAGAGCGCCGCGCAGGCAGCCGCCGACGCCGCCGAGTCCGACCAGTATGCCGAAGAGTCGTTTGCGCGTAATCTTGCCGTGTCTGATGCCGTGCAGCGCGATCGCACGTTCAAGGCGACTGCACTGTGGCTCGCCAAGCGCCATGCTGCCGGCCTCCTCACCCGCATGGAGCTCCTCAAGCTATGGAAGGTGCGCACCGTTCCCTCCACCGCACACCCTCCCCCCTCCCGAATCTCGAAGACGCAGCCATGGCCATGTGATCCATTCCACTCGACTCGATTGTTGGAGTGGGCAGCCCAAACCTCAAAGGAAAAAGCAGTTTTTGCCTTGGCTTTGTTCCACATGGAGCGGTTTTGCCCAATGCAAATCAATCCCATACAAACTGTTTTTTTCGGGGGCTCGGGCTCAAACAAAAGCCAATGCAATTGGAAATGTTGCAAGAATTTCACACTCAACAGACAGACGGAAACTTGTCTTGTTCTGACTGTGGATATGAAATCACTGGTGCTTTGAACTCCTGATGGGGACTCGTCATCTTGTTGCCACTCGACTCGTCCACGCCTCGTTCACCGCTTGGCTTCAATATGCGTATTCTTGTTCTATTCGCACATCGCTCACTCTTGTTGTTTGATCTTTTGCGTTTTGCGGAATCGTTTCCGAATTTCTAGGGATTGTTCTTCCTGATGTGGCACTCGGACAAGCCGGCAGTGCAGGAACAGACCGCCGAGCGCATTGCAACGCTCGTCCAATCCTTCAAGAGCACGTCTGGAGCCCTTCTCTTTGTGGACACGTTTTTCGAGACAATCATGAGAGAATGGGGCGGGATTGACAAGCTGCGCCTTGACAAGTACTATGTGCTCGTGCGCTTCGTTGTCCGCCAAATCCTCGAAGCGTGCCGCGCTCAGCAGTGGAACCAAGATGTGATGGAGGCGGTGGCGAACGTCTTGGCCGACCGGCCTTTGCTGCCAGAGGAAGGTGTCGAGCCCGTCACCCGTGATCCCAAGGATCGTCGCGTCATGTGCGACGGTTTGACCATGCACCTCGCTGACGTCTTCTTTGGCGAGCTGGCCACCGCTGCTGCCAAGTTCCCCGTCCCGCCCGCAGTGTTTGCCCTGCTGCTCAACCCCTTTTCGCGCCTGCTGGCCTTCTCGCGTCGCCCGCACGTGCTCTCGCGGCTTCAGGATTCCGTTTTCACGCCACTCACAGAGCTGGACGACGAAGTGGATGAGGAAGAGCAAGAGGCTGCACCCAAGGGCAAAAAGCAAAGGCAACGGCCGCTGCGCCCATCGGAGCGTGTGGGCATGAAGCCCAGCGCGGTTGCGCATCAGCTGCTCCAATTCGCAGCCATGAAAACTGTCAAATCCGAAAACCGCCAGCTCTTGTACAAGGTCCGCCGTCAATTCGTGCATCTCATGCCCGAGCACGAGCAGCCCGCCATGGTCGAAGCCCAAGCATTCACCACCCGCCAACTCAAGACCGAGCGTGAGACTGCTGCTGCAGCTCTCGCCGCCAGCACAAAGTCATCTGCCTACGACAGTGACAGTGATGACTCGGACATGTGGGATGAGGGTGAAACTGGACACGATGGTGAGGAGGATGAAGAAGACGAGGATGAGGAGGACGAAGAAGACGAAGACGACGACGACGACGACGACGACGATGATGATGATGAGGATGATGTCCAGCCCATGAAGACAAACGCACCCTCGAACAAACAGCAACCGCAGACTGGCAAAACGCCCGTCCCCGCTGCGAAGGCAACCAATGGCAAGGTTGTCGTGAATGGCAAGCAGCCACAGCCAACCCCCGCAGCCAAGAAGACCGAGACCGCTACTCCTTCAAAGCCCAAGGCCGCGACCTCGACTCCGAAGAAGGCCGAGGTCGTTCCGGCAGCTGCCACACCCGCAAAGGTGGCAACTCCTGCCCGTGTCTCCCAGAAGCGCTCTGCCGAAGAGGCTGTCGCCGAGTCGGCACCAGTTGCGCCCGCGTCCCAGAAGAAGGTGCGTGTTGAAGAGACTGCCGCCGCCGCCGCCGCCGCGCCTGCTGCCAAGACGCCCACCAAGAAGCAAGACAGCAAGACTGCTGCTGCGTCATTCTCTACTCCTCAGCAAGCCAAGCAGGCTGCCGCCAGCACCGCAGCGCCAGCAACCGCCCCAGCCAAGCCCAGCCTTGCTGCTGCCACAGCTACCCCGCGCAACAAGGTTCGCTTTGACGCCAATAAGAACACTGCACAATCTTTCCAGGACAGCCTGAAGGTGGATCCGCGGTTTGTTGCCTTCAGCCCAGACAAGCGACCAGCCTCTCCTCTGCTCAAGGTCACCACACCACGACGCGCCAAGGCCACTGACTTTTTTGACAATTAATGCAGGGTGTGTGTGTTGTTGGTGGTGGTGGTGTTGTTTTTGTTGTCTTCCTTGTGCTTGTTGAACAATATGATTTTTTTTTGTTTTGCCGGTCATCTTCTGGTTTTGTTCCAATTCTTATTGGGGGGGGAGGTTTTGTTACATTTCGTTCAAGTGACTTTCATGTTGTTTTTTTTTTTTTTTTTTTTTTTCTCTATTTCCTTTCTTCCTCTGTCTGAGTCTTTGTTGCGCAGTCTTGACTTTTTGCGTTGCCCTTGTGCTGTTTGGTAGTCCAATTGCTTGTGTTCTGCTCTTCAGCCACTCCGTCCATCCCACCCAACGGATCCACCACTCCTGACACTCACCCCTGGGCGTTGGGGAGTCCGAGCCACAGCCACCTGCCATGCAGTGGTCTTTCGGTTCTCCCCACCACCACTGTGAAGCCAGCGCGTCACCAAAGTCGCCTACTCCTTCTTCCTCGTGTGCCAGCTCTTTCCTGAGGGTCTCGTCCACCTCGCGATCTCTCCGTCCGTGGTCGCCTCAGTCTCACTCTCATCAGTCGATCGTCCCTCCTCTTGCGTCAATCGCTTCAAAACCCAACATTGGCAACGCGTCATGTGTTTGGTTCGTTCATGGTGTTTTTTGTTGTTTTTTTTCATTCCCGCCACAACGTCGATTCTGCGTTTTTCCCGCCAAAACTCTGGCCTGGTTTGGTCCACAAGCTCTCGCGTGGTTTGGGTCGGTTTGACGGAGTCTTCTGCTTTTTTTGTGAGCAGTTGCTTCCTGAAGGTCGCTTTCCGGCGTGGTGCGAGCTGTGCCAACGCCAGAGCGACAGCGATAGAACTTTGGATTCGAGCGGAAGGAAAGGAAGGGAAAAACAAACAACAAATCTGAGCAGAATTGACACGAGAACGTTGCCCTCTGTGTTTGGGTAGAGAGGAATTGCGCAAGTCGAACGAAGGGGAAAGATTGCTGAGATGGATTTGGCGATGCGGAAGCGAGATTGCGAAAGGCGTTGGATGCTAGATCTGACGACGGAACGCCTGCACCGTTGGTTGAGCTGGATTGGTTGTTTTTGGAGACGATCGCCGCTGCGTTTCTCGCGTATTTTTCTGAGACAAATAACGCCCAATACGAAATGATTCGAGAGCAAAAGTATGAAAGGGACCTCCTGGTCTGTCATGCTTTCTCTTGTCACTCTGGAATGACTGCGCATGCTTGAAGCCTCTCCGTGTGCGGACAGATACGGAGCGAACATTTCTCGCTCTCTCACTCTCTCTCTCTCATCCTCTTGATTATGATGATGATGATGATGGCATCTTTTTCTTGCTATGTGACTCACAAAAATTGTGGAATAATACTTTTTCCCACAGGGCATTTATCGCGTATTGGATGAACGGTTCTACTGCTGCGCAACCTCGTCAACGAGGGCTCGATAGGGCGATCGCTCATCTCGTTGTTGGTATGTTGGAACGGGGTGCTTTTGCCTGTGCTCTAAGGAGCTTATTCTCATCATCATCATCCTTTTGGTGTTGCTTTGGCTGATCTCGCAACAACGAAAAAGGGCTTCTCGACTCGTTCGGGTTTGAATCCACGGCTACTCATTTCCGCCAAGAAGCTCAGCAATCAGGTCTATTAGATAGAGAATCCGCACTCGACAACTCGTCCAGCTTGATACGGCACCTCGAGGAAGAGCCTCGCTTGGTTCATCTGCTGTCCTTTATTGTCGACTCGCGGGGAACAGAGTCCAAAGCTTGCGGACTGTTGCGCCTCGTTGAGGCCTATCTTCAGCTACGCATCGACGAAGCCGCGCAAAAATCCGCCATTGATCGGTTTGGATCGACGCAATTTACGCGAACGTTGCTGACGAGCGTCTTACACTTGGCACACCACGCCTCGGCGATGCTCCCTTCCGACAATGGCTCGCGTCCCAGCACCGCCACGCCGCAAGCTCAGCGGCGAGTATTGCCGAAATCCGCTCCGCAATCTACCGTCAGGGAAATATCGTCGAGGCTTTACGCTTCCATTCAGAGACAGAAAGCCAACTCGACTGCAAAAACACTCGATAACACCGCGGCCAGCGCAAAGCGAAGAGCTGGGAGACCACGCAAGCATCCTCGCCCCTCGTTGACCCAGGAGGAAATGGACTCGCAGATGAATGCCGGCTCACCGGAGCCCGAGCGCCCCGATGAGTTGTCTCTGCCGGAATTCTTCAATGACTTGGATGTACCAGACACGTTCGACCCAAACCACACACTATTCATTGATTTGCCCGTTTCATTGCAGTTCGAACCTGACACGCCAGCTTCGAGTGCTGCACCTGACGATGGTCGCCGAGAGTTTACCCTGAACCTTGCTTTGAACCCCGAACAAATTGCTCAAGCGGCAAACCAACTACAAAATGGCGATGATTCCGTTTTGGAAGAATCTATGACTCGCATGCTGGCAAGCGCCGTGCAGACTGATGGTACGGATG